TGAAAGTGCATCTGCTAGAACAAAATTTTACAAATAACTATTACTTACAAATTACTACATTTCGACGATTCTCAGAAAAAACATTGATTATTGATTTTAAAGGTAAAATTTGGGAGTTGATGAGTCATGCTAGTGACAGACGTTGGGGAAAGAAAGAAAGGGTTACCTTTGGTTCAGAGTGCACGGCGGTGTGGATAATAAGAATCTGTTGTATTGATCAAGAGAATTTTGCTTCCTAAACAGAAATGTGCACCTTCTTTGTGTAGAGTATTTTCAAAACAGAAAGTTATCAACTGAACTGATGACTGATGCCAATAATAGAGAAATAATAGAAAATGTACCTAAACAAGCTAGTAAATAGATCAAGTACAGTCAAGCATTAAATAAACAGTTTTTCAAAAGTACTTAAAAAGATGGTCAAAAAATGTACCTCTGAGAAAGTGGGGGGGGGCTGCAGCCCCCAGTGGCGTCGTGCCTAAAATTTTGAATCAAGTGACTAAAGCTGCCACAACGCCGAAAACGTAAAGGCATCGCTATGTAGACATGTTTATAAAATATGCAACATGATTATTTTACCAATAGGGAATGCCAATGACCAATATCATAGTTTGGATTTCTTCTCAGCTTTGAATCGTTGTGACAAAAACATAAAGATAGGATAATCTTCATTATCCTATTTCTTTGGACAAAAATAAAACATCTTCGCTGCAAAGTGTAGCCTAAATGAGATGCAAAAAAATCCTATTTTCATCTGCTTGGTTTAACAGCTAAAAATGACTTTTTAAAAAATGTCTTTATGTTCTATCGTTATTATGTAGCTCAAAACATATCCTTACTTAAAGCTAAATGAAAATATATAGCTATCGTTACATATCAAGACAGCCGAATTTTCAACAGTTACTGTAACTGCCAGTCTACTGCTCAATAGATATATAGATTGATGCATCTGTCACAAATACAGTATTCCCTTACTTGTTATTATTATTAAAAAATAAAGTTTGGTTTCTTCTAACTATATCTGTTTTAACATTTTGAAGATCTTTGATCACAATAACTAATAATAAAAGTGATACATAAGATATATAATGCAAGGTATAATATAATGTCTAACGCAATAAGTAATACTGTATAATAGGTAAATTCTTTGCAAAATTTCTAAGTACCATTTTCTAAGTTCTTTCGTTGAGCTTTCTTTGTAGCAGCTCATCTTACAAAAAAAGTCATGAGAATGATTTGAAGTTTTTCTGTTGGCTTTGCCTTATTTTTTCAATAGAGAATTTTATCAACGATTTGGTGAAATTCGCTATTTGAAAACTTATCGAATTGATTGAAAATGAATCCAATTGAAGCCTCTGGATACGAATATTTAATAACCGGAACAACATTCTCAGGTAAAATCTGATGAAGTTATTTGTTTCCAGGGTCAGTGTTTTCCGAAAGCCAGGTTCAAAACTGAATATGTAAGATTGCTTCTTTGAACATCGAAAACAAAAAATTGTAGCTTTATCGGTTTTCAAAATTATTTTCACCAATCCAAAAAGTAAATTGAAAATCAACTGCCCAAAAAGAGAGTTTTTGCAAGCTAAGATAAGATAATCGTAAATACTGTACAGGCCTATTCTAATGCTGACTGGAAAGCTATAATTATAAGGCATAATGAATAATTAAAAGGCATAATTTTTCTCATACTTTAATTCTTTGCTAAAACAAATCAATGACAATATTAAACTCCAACATTTTCCAAGCAGAAAGTAAATATGATATTATCGTATTTATAATTGAAACATTATAAATCTCAATAGCTGAGAATCACGTCAAGACCAGCTACTCATATGATTATTGTATTTTGCTCTTTGCGCAGTGTAGAAGTTTAATAAAATGCAACTGACTTTTTCACTAGCAGCGAGGATTATGGAAACAGAGAAGTTTCTTCTTCACAAAAACTAATTTTCTACAAAATGTGAATATATTCCGTATTGGCTGAGGGAGAAAAAATACTGAGCCTTCAAACGTCCGTGGCTGCATTTCTACAACCAACTGCATGAATCTTAAATCGAATTACAGCATGCATGAATCTTAAATCGAGTTGCAGCATGCGAGAAAAGCACAAATTATGCTTCCATTTACCAAAATATTCTTTCAATACTTACATATCTATCAGACTAGATTTATCAACTGGAATTCTTTACAATTACAAGGAAGCTTACTTTTGCAAACATACCACAAAACATGTAATTATCCGGTCGTAAAATCATCAGAGTTCAGAAAACGCTTTAACCTTTCTCTGGATGAAAGTTTGCTCCTATTTGTCTTCCGCAAAGCTTTCCTTGTATCTTTTCAAAAAAATTATCTTGTAAAATAATGAATTAGCAATCCCAAAACGACTGCATTGCTATACGCTACATAACTTTTTCCCGTCTCACAGCCCTGGAACACTTATGTTTTCTGGATTCTGGAAATATCATTGTTCAAGTGTATCATATGGATGTTACCAACGGGTTAAGAAACATAAGGAAGATGGTAAATTGTTTTTCGATGAACAGAGGGGTTGCAAATGCTTATCACCTAACAAGACCCTTGTTGATAGCAATAGTAACATGTTATCCGGTATAAATATGGTATTTTATTATTATTAATATTATTATTATCATTATTCCCTTGAAATAGTAACTAGTCAAAATTAATACGAAATTTCTTCGATAGAGGTGAGTTGAAGTGGGCATCATTTGCACGAGAAAGAGATTTGCTGAGAAAATTTCAAGGCTGAAAAAATTTGTAAATATAATTTTTAGACCACGATATTCCATTTGCTTAAAATTTTTATTCATAGTCTATATCTCCATCTTATAAATTTTTGAGCCCTGTGAAATTCTATCGTTTTTAAGTACCAGCCTTAAGTTAAATTCACTGTCCTTCTAGCTGCTATATCAACTGTTGATTAGCACATTTGCGTCACAATCCAAGCTTTGCCTTATCTTTTCTCGCTGGTTACAAATCCCGGACAAAATTGTTGAGACAAAATGCAGTTTTTGCAAATTTCTACTTTACGTTAACCCTCTAACTTCGATTCCACCCTTACCCCCTGAATCAATGTTGGGTTTGTAGTTCCTTTACATTTTCTTCAAAATCATGCATTTAACATTGAATGGGGGGAGAGGGGAAAGTAAACTTTCAAAGTAAAGAGAAAATACTTTTCTTGAAAAGTCTCAACTATTTTTGTCCGGGATTGTATGGCTACACGACATGACATCAGCTTGTCCAATGACAGCATTGATGTTTTGCTTAATTAACAAATCTAAGAAAAAAGTGATACATTTATGGGAAATGCAATCCTGCAACATTCATTGCAATGCCGCTATTTATACAACTGTGGGACTGAACACGCAACGTTGGACGTGGAATTAGACGTTCTTAGGGATATTTAACGGCGGTCTTTTTACGGTATCAGCAAAACAGTATTAAAAAATTAGAAATTCATTAACAGATATCATTTGTAGATATTCTTTGCACACACATGAAAAAATGATACACGAAAAACATTGATGGTGTTGATTCAAGGCTCTTTTTGTTTACAAACAATGGTGTCACCGGATAATTTACCACCCTTCCTGTTTTAATGTACTGTATTTTTGGAAGTTGTTGTATCTACGTTTAGAAGGACAGAAGAAAAAAGAAAATTTGTCAGTATTGTCACATTTTGTTTTGATGACATGGTAAGGGAAAGTTGATGGTCGACAAGTTATTTCAACAAGCAATGGCTGTAAAAAGTACAAAAGGGGCTTGATAATGTAACTTAGGCAAAACATATCACATTCCTCAGTGGCCTATTCGAAGTGATCTAGGGCCCCGTTCACACTGCTCCGGATTCCAATGAAAACGGATAAAAAAGTATCCGTTTACACCTTGCGTTCACACTGCTCCGCTGCGAAAACGGAGACTTTTGAAAACGGAGACTTTCGAAAACGCAATTCGCAGTGTGAACACCGAAAACGGATACTTTAGAAAACGATAACAACAACAACACCACAGCAAGGTGCTTAGACCGCGCCAATTTGAACAACTTTTCTTAACATGGCCGATTCACTCGAAGTTATTACACTACTTGGAGGAATATTAGTGGCAGTGACTTGATTGAAAAGTTTATTAGCAGTTGCAAGGTCTGTAAACCAGTTCGTGGCGTTTTCCTTTTATATCCAGAGCGGAGCAATGTGAACGCTTTATCTTTTTCACACCGTTGTCAAATGTATCCAGAGCAGTGTGAACAGGTAAAACAGATCGATATGAAAACGGATAAAAACGAATACGGAGCAATGTTGCTTTTTGTAAAGACTTGCACTAAAAGTCTGTTTATGTCTGTTTGGTCTACGTGGTTTTTTAATTACTATTCCATATTAAGTTGTAAAAAGCGGAACACTGTACACGTTTACAAAGAATTGCTAGCAATAAAACACCAGAAGCTGTATCTGAAACTGATAATGGAAATCATTTTCTCAGTTAGAATGTGCTTTAAACTCTATCACTGCTAATGACAAATGTTTCAAACTGTTGAAGGAAACAATAAAAACAACGCAAATCAGTGGGTATCTCTATTTGGAAACTGCTTGCAGTCAATTTACACACTTTCAAAGTTTTAAGAGTTCGAAACCAACGTTTTAAAAGCCCTACTTGAGCAGTATCAAATCGAACAAACAGCAAAGCTCGATAAAGGGGACTTTCTATTCATTCAATGAATCATAACCAGATTTTTTTCCAAACTATAAATTGCTAATACCAGAATCGGTTTGCCAACGTCATTTGATAGAAAGGGATTAATTTCCATAGTTCCCAGTTAAAAGTAAAAAATATGCTTCATAAATTTGTGAAACAAAACAACTTCAGATATCTATATTCATTCATTTAAAATTAATTTAAAGTATCGAGTCTGTTTGAAATTAAATACAAACATTGGAAACCTGTACAAATAAATTGAGATGGGCAGCGCATGTAAGTCTATAAGTTCAGACCAGGCTGGCATTTGATTGAAGGAACGCCAAGATGCAGACATACAAGGGAGCTATTTTGGTTTTTGTGACTCTAGGGTGTTTCATTGGTGGTGTCTTGTCTACTTGTCCTGCAGATGTACATGTTAATGGCTGCAGCATCCCATTGAATGCGCCTTTTCCATACAAGGAGCTATTTAAACCTGTCTGTAACAGACACGACGTTTGCTACATATGTGTAAGTACATGTGCTACATATGTATCTATATATCATCACTGACATCTTGGTTTTCAAGATACAAAGGCATTTTAAGCTTCCTAATAAAAATATGAGTTGATTATCGTGTTTAGGTGTAAACTTTTAAGATTGCGTGACGATGCTTTAGCAAATGTGTGTGTGTGGTTTGTCTTCCTTGCAGATTAGAGTATAAACTAACTATTTAAATTTGCTTTGTTTAGCTTTTTAAACAAACTAATTTTGTTGCGAAAGCCTTCGCTTGGAGGTAATAAGCAAGAGAATTACCATATTGTCAAGTTTCATCCGAAAAAGACATTCATTAAATCTATATCGATACAAGATTAAGCGTGAAGGAGTGACAGTGTGAAGAACTTTAAAAATCTCTGCTCTTGTTATCGGTACTATTCTGCCTTTCTGTTTCTATTAACAATACTTAAAATTGCTGGAAACTATGAATTAAAGCCCTCGCTTAATTGCAAATTCATTCACTTAGAAATTGAAGATTCACATATATCAATTCTCTTAGATCTCTACAGCTTTGTGATGTTGATGATGCTCTTAAAGGAACTGAACGTTAATCTAATGTCTAAAATTGGGGCAATTGCTTTCTTGTTAGTAATCGGTAAACGCGCTGCATCGCTTCTTGAAGGTATCCGATTTACTGAAGAGTGCTTGATTCAAAAGCAAGAGCTACACTTATTGAGCAAAAGTATTCCACAGGCTGAGAAAGAAATGGCGGCACTGTGGCAAAATTTTTTAGCGAACCAAAATTCAAATAGCCGCAGAAAGTTTCAAGATAACATGTTGTGTTATGCACAAAAGGCTTATACAAGTAGAAATAAGTAAAAATGGCAGTGGAAAGGCTGCTCCTTCTTCAAGCAAAGCACAATGCAGTGTTTTATGGTAACCAAATGTATTTGGGACCATAGAAGTATCTCCAAATGTACTTGGGCATAAAACTAATGACTTTAAGCCAGTTTCAAAAGCTTCAGTTAAATATATTTTTTGGTCTGCTTAAATCCAGCAAATTTTCTGCTGTTATATCTGCTTTGACATCGTTATAAATTGTATGAAATCAGAGCCTAACTAGAAACAATATATGTGTATACAACTTTTCTTTTTCAGGGAAATCGCTATGGCTGGACTAGAGAAATCTGCGATGTAGCATTTAAGCGTGACATGGAACAAAAATGCACCGACAGATACAACAACAGAAAACGGTTCTTCAGCTCTATTTGGAACGGCATAACGGGGGCAACTAAGGTCGCAACAGAGATTGCCAAATGGCCTTTTATTCGTGGAGATCTTAATCATTGCAAACACGGGGCTAAAATATATTACGAAGCCGTGAAGTACTTTGGAAAGAGTTACTTTGTCTCAAGCTCTCCAGAATGGTGCAAAGAAGAATGCGCAAAAAATGCTGGAAATCCAAACATTTAAGTGAACAGAAAACGACAGAAATATAGCAGAATACACTGAAAAATTCAATCTGGAATATAAAATGATTATAATTGTAGATATATCGTAAATATAAATTTCGTTTTTTTGATTTTCAAATCTTTTTTCGAATAATGAAACGAATTGCAACAAAGTTGCGCTTTTTATTCGACGGTACAGAATGGAGCTGAGGGTCTTACCGCCCATACCTTAACGCGAGGGCTGTATCAAATTTGCCAAACACCTTACGAGATTTCTCGGGAATTTTTGCTCGAAAGCAAAATGATTTTGTCATTGCTAGACGAAAGATATCATAAACGATTATCTTGATTTTGTCGTGATACATAAAAGCTCGATGGATTTTTGAAATTTAGCATGGACAGTATTATGGATATTCTGAGTTTTGGCAAAAAAAGCAAAATGAATAAGCACTGTTCTGGTACTAACTCGAATATATTTATAGGAAATAAACTTGTTTATCAAAGGCTTACGGTATCCTAGTGGATTTAAGGTACCTTTTGCAACAAGAGAGTATATTTTCGAAGCACCCTATGAACAAAAAACATTTTGAAAACCGACAATACATTTCAAAGCTGGAACAAAATGCAAAACAACACATCTTGCTTCGATGGTCGAGAATGTTTTTGAAAAACACACTTCATAAATTTTTAAGAAGTTAAGAAACGGCTTTGGAAACATGATTTAAAAACAACCACAGGAGAAGAATCACGGACGAGCATTGGTAGAAAAACCTCTCTAAGGACAACATGATTCCATAAAGGAAGAAATTTCGCATATGTTTATTTACAAAGGAAGAAAAATTTCACTAATTTCACTTCAAGTAACTGGTTCATTATAAAAGAGTTATTCATGAAAATATTTCCTTTAACATTTCTATGATAAGATATCATGACGTAATTTAACATTTCGTATACAAGCCTGAATAGCATTCTATCTGATATACAACAAAACATAAAGTAAGAAAGTTTGTACGCACAATCAAAATCTGTCAAATCATCAAATATGTAGGTATGCTCGGCTATCATAAATAACCCATAATAAACAAAAGAAATTGGGGCTTCTTTTTTCTATTGACATTTTTTCTGTTTTGAAAATATCTGGAGGTAATCTTCTGACAGCATTGCGACTGTTTGCGAGGTTGAGTCTATGATGAAGACAGATGTCTTGATAACCGAGACAAAGGCATGCCTAGTTTTATGCATCTTATCTCGTAAATGTTTATGATTCAGTACAATAAAGTTGTTAGAAAGAACCGAATCGAATCTCACTCAAGTTCTTACGCAAGGGAATCTCTTCTTCAACAAAATATGACAATTTCTATGACAAGATTTGACGCATAATACCCAGCTTTCACTTAATTTATAGGGGTCTGGATCACAGGCTATACATTTACCGATTGTCATTCATTGTTCAGTATTGTAGACACTGAAATGCGGTTAACTAGGATCAAATGACTACTCCTCATTGAATTTAGCGAGCTGAACATGAGAAAATGGCACCGCACAGAAAATAGCAGTCTGCTGAAGCGGAAAGTACAGGTTTTAAAAGGACATATCATCAGAAAAGTAGTTGTTGTGATACCGTAAAAAAGGCACAACTAGTTTATTTGATTCTGACGCTCTTGGTAACTCTCGCATTGATTCCAGACATCTCTCCGCCGTAATTTGAAGCTTCCATTCTCACCAATGGAACCTACAATAGAAATCAAGATAAATAATTTTTTTTCAAATCATGAAAAATGCTGCTATCTTATGGAAATTTTCATTTGATAATATTTACTTCCAAAACCAATTAAGATAAGTGATAAACACAAACATAGTCGGCGTCTGTCATCGTTTTGTTTTGAAAACAATACTACAAAATCTAGAAGACACAAATAATACAGTGCAGCCTAAAAGTAACAGAAAACTGCTTGATAAAATCATTATAAATGCTTTAATTCTCACATACATGGAAATCCCGTGCAAAGCCCTGTCGCAGAGAGAAAATATGAATTCCTGGAATAACCTCATCCTTCAATGTGGATATTTCAGGGAAAAGCCTAGACATTTCCTTTAAAGCGGGTACTAAGATTAGGATAAAAGGAATCGAATGATTTTTTGAAGCTTGAAGATAGGGTTCCTGGTTTAATATCCATCAATGATTTGAAGGAATCGCTTAACCAACTTTGCTTTTGTTTACTAGCCAGATATACCCCAGCAGAAAGTGTCCTCTTTAATTCTAACAAAATAACTTGCAATTTTCCCGTGTAATGAGTTTGAAGGTTGAGATAAAAAATGAAACTGAACGATTTTGTCAGTTTGTTGTCTACATGTGTCTTGAATAGCAAAACAGCAGTTCAAGATTCGCACCTGGCTTTTTCGTTTCACTACCGCCTTTTTGAATTTCATTTTGTGTTTAACACGGGGGTTTCGATGCTCCTTCTTTCGCTTCCTTGTCAATCCTTTGTTTTTAGCCATCTAAAAATAAAACACTTCAATTAATTATCTTAGATGAAATAATAATTGAAAATGATTGATGGGACGAGTCTTGTGATGAAAAATGAACGGAAAGGAGATAAATTGAAAATATATTGAAAATACCACTGGTTATGTCTACAAGCAAGAACAAGTAATTAAATTTTAATTCGCTAATCTTTGCAAGGAAAATAGCATTTGGGAAAAAGATTATTAAAGATAATCGGGAAATGTTACACTGAACAAAGAAATATTCATAATGGCAACAAACCAACTCTGTTATGTTTCAAGGGCTATGTTGCTGCTATGAAATATTAATGCATGTTTACGCATGCGAATCGGGGCTAGTTTTGCAACAGTAATGCAATTATCAATGTCAATGTCATTGTAACAGTATTGCAATTATCAATGCAATTAATGTTTTCATCAACAAACCGTATACGGGCAAATTTTCATATGTTTCAGAAACTTATTTTGTTGAATTGAGTGCTGGTTTAAACTTGGTTATTTATACACATCTGTCGATCAATCAACTTTAATTATTTAAAGTATAGTCGTTATCTTAGCTGTGTTTTTCAATTATAAAAACTAAAACGGGAAATCACATTTTCCTCATTTGCGAAATTACCTCATACGTAATTCCCCTCTTGCCGTCTTCATCAGCCTCGGATTCCCCGCCTTCTTCATCTTCAACACTAAAAAAGCAGATAAAGAAAAGCGTTCTTATAAACAAAGGCATTTTATAAATTACTTTTCAGGATGCCAAAAAGCCAAAATTTGCGCAGAGTCATCTGGATTTAAGTATTTAGTATACGAAAACCGAAGTGAATGAGGCAGGACTCGAACCAACGAACCGAGGCCAAGTACGTCATCGTATTACCAACAGAGCTCGAGTCCTGCCTCGTTGTTTCAATCGTTCACATTTTCTCTCAGTAAATCAAATCCTGTTCTTCTTCAACATGCTAAGTGCTGTTATGAACGAGCGCGTAAGAATATCTCCTAGATTCTCGATGACATCGGCAAGCTATCTTGAGTTACAAATATCCCATTTGTGCATGTTTCGCAAACTAAAGAAAGTAACGTTAAGATATAAACGACGATCACAGCGATCTCTTATTCAAATAGTTTCAAGTTAAATGCATATCATGCAAGACTATCGAATTCATAAGAAAATACATTAACTGTAAAAATGATAAAAAATACAACTAAGTTGCTGATAACATACTCTTCGGAAGCTTCTTGCTGTTTCTTCTTTTTGCCTTTCAGTTTATCGGACACACTCTTATAATAATCCCACGGGTCTTGAGTCGGGTTTTCTGCACTTGGCTTTGTTGCCTTTACCTTGTATCAGAAATATACAAATAAACAAAGAGAGGCATGAAATATCGCATAAAATAATCATACGGAATCGCAAGATTTTACAAAATGATGGTCTAATAGATGACCAAGTGTAAGGGTCATCATAATGCCGCCCTTATCTAATATTAGCAAACGTTAAGGACTATGCGAGTAGCAATACATTGACTTTCTTTCTAGTCTTCTCAGCATTGGAAAGAGTCCTATCTACAGGGGAAAGCTGAAATGAATAGCATGACACAAGTGCAAATCATAATCAAAGCGAATTGAAAACATTTCCATTGGGTGCGTGCTATACGATGGTCACACTCTGATGATAATTTTTCATATTTCCGCAAACAAAAGTCTCTTGAACTGTGCTATTCCTTACATAAATACATCAGTTAATAATTCTTCGTTCACATCAAAATTTAATAGTTCAATCTGACCTTTTTCGCTTTTGATTTCTCGTTCACTAATGATGGTGTTATTATCGTTTTCATGGACTTGGCTTCCTCAGCATAGCTCTTCAAATTCTGTACATGAAATGAATAAAAAAGAATAAAATATTGAGAAGGAATATTAACAATCAAAAACGGCTTATTTATTAATTTCACTAAAATTACACACAATATTTTACAATTCCTTAACATTTTGCCAAAGAACCTATTAAATTTACCAATAGTAAACTGTGGATAAATAAGGAAAAATTGAAAATTTTGAAAATTCCCTAGCTTCTCTTAATCCAGTTGCTTCATGAATATTAGCAATCAATCGGATTAAAATTGGAACATTTATCTAAAAAGCAGATGTGAATATCGAAAGTGGCATTTCTGCATCTTGTAAAAAACAAAATTTTGAAATATCGAGTAATGAACACTTCGTTACAGGAAACTCGTTGTTCAGTAGGAGACTTTTTGGTTGTTTTGTACTTAGAATAAAAATAAAGTTACCTGACTAGCTTCTGTATTATTCCCATTAACAGCATTTTCTGAGTAATAAATCAAAATATGATATAAAATAACTTTAAGCAAAATGATAGAAAATAAGCTATAAAATAAATTGGCCAATAACAATGAAATAACAAGATTGTGAAATATAAACAGAAACCAAACACCGGGTAAATTAGGCCAAATCTATTACTTTTCTATTATTTTAATTAGGTATTTACCAAAATCAGCACATTCAGACCAAAAGGAAAAAAGTCTAAGCTGGCTGCACTAGTTCAAGCTTATATCAAAGTTGGGTTAATGTCCTTGGCCCATAATTTTTTCCTGTCGTCTAGCCCCTAAAAAACCCCTTATTCTCTAGATGTTCACATCATCTCCTAATTTGTACCAAAACTGGTTTGATGGTCTAATGGCGTCAGAGTAATGACCACGCACAGATTATTGTATATAAAATTATATCGATAAATAAGCCTTATTTAAATTAAAAAGTTAAAGGCACTATGTCCCGTCAGTCAACCGTCCAGGGCTTTGCAGCGCGTTTATGATCAAGAAAACATTGCGAATCAGTAATACGTTGCCGATTGGATACGTAACAATAGGCCTGTTGTGTAGTCCGACGAATGAGACATTTAAATGGCCAGCGAGATCCGTCGGGATATAGTGCTTTAAAGTACAAACGTGCATTCAGATGTGCTGATCGTATACTGAATGACTCTGCTGTAAAGGATTTGTGGACAGCTGAAGGGGGCAATCAAAGAGAGAATATCTGAAGAATAAATTTATTAGCTATGAAATTAATAAAAAAGCGATTCAAATGAGTAGAGCCTCGCGTATATAAGGCATCGCTAATTAAAGGTGGCATCCCTACAAAAACACAAGATCACATTCAATAAGATTACCATCGACTTTGGAATTCTGTTGTAGAATTTTCATCATTTGGCCTTCGAGCTGCTTAGCCATGGGTTCGATTTTTTCCAAAAGCTAATATTGTAAAAAAGGAAATCATTCTTTTGAAAGAAAGTACGATTACGCAATTTGAAATAAGCAGATATGACAAGCAGTTTGTAGATCTGGGTTAAAGATACATTTGTAAGAAATGCACGGGGAAGGATAAGGGCAACGCCACAGCTCAGAAGACACTCAAGGTAAGTTGTTTCCTGTTCATGCCTTCTTAAAAGGCAATCAACAGATACTAAATGGGCATAAGTCATCTTTCAATCAAAAATTGGCCAATCAGTGAGCATGATTCCAGTCGCAAGCTCAATGATTGGCTAAATTTGATTGACATATATGGCTTACGCCACTTTTATACTATCGACTGCTTTTTACGTAAAAAGTTTTCATTGGCAGTTGTTAGAATCTAATTTATTTAATTTGGACAATAATAATAAAAATAAATATCATCATAGATGTCAATCCTTGACAGTTAGACCACTTTAAGTTTGTTTATGTAATACTTTGCAAAAGAGTTTCGCAATGTTAACATAATCTGCCTAATTATTGATTTCACATAAACTTTTAATACATAATAGTTTATATCATAATGACCAATTTTCACTTACAGTTCTGTATTCAACAATTTTTTCGATAACCGGGTGGTCTTTGACATTCTCTCGCTTTGCTATCAGCATTAGATAGAAACTGATATTCACACAGTAACTAGGATAAAAATAATGCTATTAAACATCGACCAAAATTAAACAAGAGACAGAGTAAGAAAACAACTGATTCCTCAAACAGTCAGCTGTAGAACGGCTTCGCTCAGTATCAGAGCGCATTAGAACGGCTTCGCCCAGTATCAGGGCTCTTTAGGTCACTGAATGAAGACCTAGAGCTGGCCCAGGGCAAATCTTTTGGCTGTCAGTGGCAATACAAGTCGTGTGAAAAGGAGAAAAGTATGTGTGAGTCTTAGAAACCCTGACAGTCTTAAGAAAGACCACTGAGAACACCTTTGTTAAAAACTAGTCAGTTATACTGCATACGAACCATAGCATCCGTGAATTCATGTCTATATAACAAGGATACCTCTCTCAAAATTCATTTGCCATACGAATATTTCGACGTTATAGATAAGCTAAAGTGTACATGAAAGTAGTGTAAGTTCCAGCATTGATTATACTCCTTTTGCATTACATCGTTGTAACTTTTTCAATCAACAAAACAAAATCTATAATAAACTGAAAAAGCGTATTAGTAATACACAGAAAACTTACTTTAAAAGAAGCTGATTCATCACCTCGATGAAATCTCTTCCCTAAAAATCAGGAAAGTATCAGTTGATTGCTATGTGCAAGGATTCCAGGATAGATCTCCTCCTTAAGATCTTCCCTTAATACAATTTACTTGTGTCTTTAAGTCATTTTGTTTTGTAAGTCTATTTATATTTTATTTGTATTGCATATTATAATGTAGTAATTGAATTCACATTACATAGAAGTGGAATCTTACAAAAAATTAAAAATAGGGCTGAAAAAGGAATCTTCTCAAAAGTGCTGGGCTTAAAATTTGTGGAGAGAATCAAGAGCAAGGAAATAATTCTATAAAAATGGTTCTATGAAGATTTTAAGTATATTCAGTAAAAAAGCGTTTTCGTCTAGTTCCAGTAAGTAAATAGAAGAACTAGGTAACAAACCTCTTTAGATATGATATTTTTACGCGTTCTTGCAATCACCAAAAGGGGATGATACTTGCTGATTACGTCATTCAACTACAAACCAAGAACAAACAAAATATGAAGCTGCATGTACCGTGAATCCCCTAATTTCTATTTGCAAAAATTAATTTTTTGGTGGGGGCTTATTCGAGGGGGAGGGGGCTTATTCATAGTGACCAAAGGAAATTCTTGTTGACCAATTGAATGGAAAAAAAGATAAACATGAGCATTTTGAGCTTCTTATTACAACAACTGATATCATTAAAAGAGTTACAAAGTGCTGTTTGATAATCTAACAAATATTATAATCTTGTATCATCACAAAAGTCGCTTTTTTGCTTTTTGGTCTCCAGTCAAAGAAAGTAATACTGTATAGCTATTGTTCTGTGGGGGCTTTCTTAAAATGCGATATTATTCTGCAATAATGGTTCCCTTGAGGGGGGGGGGCTTATTTGCAAAAATGATTCTTAGGTGAGGGCTTATTTGAGGATTTACGGTATGTTGTCTAATTTCTAATACTCACTAAGGCATCTAATAAGCTATAAAGGGGTGTAAAGCCAATTTAAAAGATGAGTTTGCTAAGGAGGGTAAAAATAACAAGTATGAAAATATTATATGCAGTACAGGAACTTTGAGCGACTATTAGCAAACTAAAACCAAGTATTGGTACCACACACAATATTTAATTCTGAATTTAATGGAAAAGGACACAAAAATCAATTGCAAATTGCTAATAAAAGTTCTTACCCTTGCTTGATAATCGTCCAAAAGAAGAAACAATTCTGGAGACTCTTTCATTAAAAGCTGAAAGCCAGTAAATAAAAACAATAAACAATATTAAACGAATGCACATAAAGAACACAAATGAAGTTTCAAAGACAAAATAGCAAAATATTTATAGAATTTAAAAAGGAGGAATGGAGGACGAGAGCTTCTGGGAACTTTACAACAACCAGAATGGGGAGGCAGTGAAGTGGGCAGAAGGTGGAATAAAAAACCAATGATGAAAATATCGTTATAAGAATATCGTTAGACCACCTAAAAAACTAAGAAGACTCAAAGTGATAAAAATTTCTGGAGTTTTATAAATGGGAATGAAAGCAAAAAGAATTTATCAAACAAATAAAAGTAATCAGCTAATCAAAAAAACATTAAAAAGAACATCCCAATGAATGGCAAATGAAAATAAGTCTTTCCAAACATCAAACTGTTATATATATATTTCATTAAAATTTGAGGCATAGAAATATGCATGCAGATGCCATGAGAGGCTAAATCTATGATAATCTTTTTTTAAAAAAAATTTTACCTGAATTTTTTCTTCTTTTGAAAGTTTATGCAAATCTTTGACAATCTGTGTTTCCATATCCTATAAAAATAAATATAAAAATAGGAACATAGAAATAGAGAAAAAACCTAATTACACCATTGATATAAAAAATTAAAAACATTTCCAAATTACAACACAAAAATAGCGTAATTAAACTATATACTAAATTTTCATTCTTTTGGTAGGTGGCTGTAAAAGTAATTGTTAAAATTTGAACAAAAGGAAGAGTGTTACAACAAGATGATAACAAAAATCCTTGTTTACCATATCAACAAGCTCTTCATTCTCCCCAACTGGCTGCTCCTAGAATTCAATAGATGCATTTTAGCATTTGTACAAAATTGGGCATATTTGTAATGAATATGATCAAAAATAAATAAAATCTTATCAATGAAAGTAGAATCTTAAAAGGAACTTTAAAAAAGATGGAAAAAGACAATTCTCTGCAATGAAAAATAGCATGCATGCGAATCTGAACCATACCTCAAGATCAAGATAATCAAAATCTTGTTGATCAAGGTGAGATATCATTCTCTGCTGTAAAGCCATTGCTTCCTTCTCCTCTTCCTCTGCAACCACTTCCTCTTCCTCAAAATTATCTGCAACATCATTACATTTATTTCAAAGCAATTCACTTAAAAGGCTTAAATAGGTAGGATAGTCAAGGAAACAAAAATTGAAAAGCCTATTTAAGCAATGGTTTATAAAATTAAACCAGAACCTCTTAAAAAATTATAGTCATGCATAACATTTTGTCCTGAGTTTTTGAAATCTGACAATAACAGACCATTGAAATCAACAGGTAGATAAAATATCTGGGTTGTGAAAGGATGTGGTTGATAAAAACAACTAACCAAAATGAGTAGCATCTTTAAGATCAGAGTCATAAAACTCCTTCTTTTTTCTTCCCCAAGCTTTACGGCTAGGCAGTCCTTGAATAAAAATAAAAGAGATTAATGAAATAAATCTAACAGAATTCAAAATTCTATCATCTGACATCACATTTCCAGTTAAAATAATATTTACTGACATCTGGTAAAGTGATCTCACTGTTTGTGAAAACAAAACTTAAAACAGAGTTTCAAAAAATTGATAATGAGCAAGTACATTAAGTAGAAGATATACTTCATACCAGCTTCCTCATCATTTTCATCTTCATCTGCCAGCAAATCTTCACTGTCCTAAAATTCATAGAGCAAATATTATGTATGTTCTTCAAGAACACATAAAAAACTTCATGTATCCATGTCAAGTCCTTCATTGAACATTGAACATTGAACTAAAAAAAAAGGAAATTTCAATATCTCAATCAGTTTCTAAGCTTAGAGTTTCAGTCACTTTAAGAAAATCTCTCACCTTATCATTTTCTTCTTCATCTTCTTCATCACTTTCATCATCATCAAGTTTCATTATTTCATCTCCCTAAATACAATTCACGAAAAAGGAACTTTTTTAACAAAAAGCTCTCACACTTTGCATTTCTAATGATTAACTTAAAAACACAAGCTTATATTATTTTGAGCGGAAAATTAAGGATTTCTGATGTTTTCTAGCTAGATTGTCAAATATCCACAAAAGAAATTTAGAAACAAATTATCAGCATTATATCAAGAAATGAAGGAAAAAACCTCTTCGCTATAAATGTCTTCATCATCAGGCTCAGCATCACTGTCCAGAAGAATCTGCAAATTGAATTTGAAGTTGCCAGATTTGGTTGGAACTAACTCACTCTGACTTAAAAATTAAATGGCTAGCCTAAGAACAAAACAAGCCTCATATTTACAACTCTGGTGAATAGGTGACAGTTGTCCCATTCTGTCCATTTGTGAGTGAGACAGACCAGCAATTTAACCAGTTAAAAAATTTTCATAGAAAAGGAATAAGCAAATTTTGGGTACCCTTGTAGGCAATATCAACTGTCTAGAGCCCTAACATATGAGATACTAAATGTTGAGTTTGTTTATTGGTGTGTCTATATACATGATCAGTTGCTAAGAACAGATTAACAAATCTAGGATACATCAATCAAACTTTGAAGAAAATTTGATAATTAGAGATATGATACCTTATCTTTCTGTAAGGAATGCTTCTCAATTTCATCATTGTAATAATCTTTTGACTCCTGCAAGAATAATTCTAATGAGTGAATAGCTACATGACATTCTCAAAAATAACCAACAAAGAGAGGGTAGCCGCAGTCGAAAGCTGCAATAAACATTTAATCTACATACAGGGTCTGGCAGTGGCATTCTTGAAAATCCATCATCTGAATCCTCATCTTCGGCTTTCGGATTCTTGCTTTGCTTTCTTTATACAAAAAAATTTAATCATTTTTAACACCAACATTAGTAGGGTAGAGTATTTTATCATAAACAGGAAGAAAAGATGGAAGATGAATTGTAGTCAGGCCTTCAGATGATTGAACACATTAAAGGGTTCATATCAAACAAGGTTGGTGGAACAAGTGTACTCACATTAAAAATCACTGTGAAAGATTCAACTGCTGTTTTATCACAAACTATAAGCTGTTTTTAAAAGTTTTATTTTGGTTCAGTGGCATCAAAAACCAAACTTGTAGAATATTTCCCTACACTATCTATGTTGATCTAGGGGAAGGGGGATGGAAAAAGTCATACTCAGGAAAAGAAATGAAATGACACTAGTGGGTATTCAAGAAATTTTGGCAGGCAAGACACTTTAGTTTTGGTTTTTTTGTTGGTGTCCAACATTACAGTAGAAAACAAGGGGCTGGAGCTAAGAGGCTGAGGCCCCTCCGAATGTAAATGCTAGTTACTATGATAGGATATGAGTAGAGACAACTAGGAAACAAGTGGGCAATGTACTGTCTTTCATCTGAAAAAGTTAATATTACTACTAGGACCTTTTATAAAGTTTGAAACATTTCAGCAAATAAGATCCAAGGAAAATTTAGGAAAAAAACATTTTTAGAAAAAAAAACAAATTTGTTTTTTATTTAAAATTTTTTTTGTGCATTCCAACATCATTTCAGGTATTTGCAAATCCAAAAATTTCTGGGAGGGGCATGCCTTATATCTCCTAGGTTGAAGTGCCCATGGTGCAGTGCAAATCAGTTCAGTTCAGTTAATTTCAAAATTCAACAAAAACTCAAATTTAGACCACATCAACCACATTAACAAATACAACTATAATTACAACAACTACAGATATAAGCAAACAAAGAATAATAACATGAAAATTGTATAGTCTGTTTATCCTCTTAGGAAGGAACTTTCTCAATAAATAAACTAATTGAGGAAAGATCGCGAAGTCCCTATTTGATTACATTTTTCATTATTAACAATACAAATTTCTTAGAAGTGTGTGGAGGGCAGTTATACAATCGCGCAATCAGGCGAATGAATTTGCCTGCGCAAGAAACAAAGTCAAAAGTATGCACACCAACCTGACCAAAACAAGCTACCAAGTGAAGGTACTTGATTTAAAGCCCCAAAATGTCCCCTGTGTTATTTTATTTTCTGCCTAATTCAAGCTATTTGCTCAAAATATATAAGGGACACACAACCACCCCTCATCTGAGTTTGAGGGTGTAACAAGGTGGTAGTGTTTGCTCCTTATCTTCTCTTTTCTTATTTTTCCAATTTGGATTTTAATTTTTTTCCACACATTGATTTTTATGTTTTTACCTAAAAAAAAATTTGCTGCAACATAATTTTAACAATTCATTGAATGTTTTAAGTAGATTTTATATCCTTACCGTTTCTTTCCCATATTTCGTATGTTTGTTTTTGTCACACTTTAACAGATTTTTGATCGAGTTAACACATGGGAATAAGGGAATTTCCAATATTTAGAATGCCTCGCAATGTTGAATTTTCTAACGAAAGAGAGGCAGGTTTCAAATGGTTTCGTCAGCAAGTCAGCAGCAACTTTCCTTACCCTTCTCTGAAGGCTTGGATGACTTCGCTCTTCTCAAGGCAGTGGCTAAAAGTTAATTGCGTGCTAGCAAAAAGAGTCCTCGCAAAACCTGCGCCTCTTAGATTTCTGAGAAAGTTTTGTGAAGCGCAGTTCAAAATGGATAGCTCGCTGACTGGCAAGGATTTGAGACAAATCTTCGTAGATTTTTTCGTGGAAAAACATGGGCACACGTTTGTAAGATCTTCTTCTGTTGTACCACACGATGACCCAACTCTACTGTTCGCGAATGCCGGAATGAATCAGGTAAATTAAATCTGTTTAGGGATGATTTGGTTTCACCCCAATATTGAATTAACTTCATCGTTGATGAAGTTGCCCTTTTTTACACACGTGCATGCGGTACTTTTTTCAAAAACGTGTTTTACAAACAGATACACTCTCCGCACATTGCAAGAAATGTATTTTTGCTTTGAAGCTGCATACCTTTATACATAAAAACTACTATAAATGTAACATAAACTGCTAAATGAAAATGAAATGTAACTGACAGTAGAAAATGAACTTGCTGTAAACTATAAATACAGCACCTTCACAAGCTAGTATGCAAGAAAGATATTACCTTTGTCATGCTGAAACTAGCAAACAAAGACAACAAATCAACTTAACACTTGAAAATATTTCAAAAGTTATGAAAACATGAGTATCAAAAATATGAAAATAAGTTTTTATTAACAAAGGACTTGACTAAATTTTCTCAGCAGTTTTCAGATATTTTTAAAACAAATTTGATAGCTAGTGTTTCAGAAAGTGCTAACACAGACTTGACGTTACCATTTTGAGTGATATATTCTTGAAATAGTGATGAAATCGGATACATTTTTATATTTTTAGTACAAACCAATTTTCCTGGGTACGGTTGACCCAAACAGTGATTTCTCAAAATTGAAAAGAGCAGTCAATAGTCAGAAGTGTATTCGTGCTGGTGGCAAACACAATGATTTGGATGATGTTGGTAAAGATGTCTATCATCATACATTTTTTGAAATGCTGGGGAATTGGTCATTTGGTGACTTTTTTAAGGTAACTTTTGAGATTTTTTAAATACTTTTATGTTTCCAAATGAACAGAAATGTGTCAAGTGTGAAAAAATCATCACACATCCAGTAAGGTCAGTGCAGGAGCTACAATAATGAATCAAAATTATTTGATTAGTTCCATCGCGGAACTACAGTGTTAGCTATTAGCAAATTCACGGTATGATGTGTAAAGGATGACATTGAATGATGTCTGCGTAAGACTTGCAACTAATTAAAGTGCAGAGTTTTGATTCCATAACTATCACATTTTCTTCATTCCAGTAACAAATTTCTTTTATTAGTTTCTCCAATTTTGTTTCAGAAAGAAGCAATTCATATGGCATGGGAACTTTTGACTGATGTGTTGAAATTACCAAAAGAAAGATTGTATGTAACCTATTTTGGTGGAACCGAAAGTGTCCCAGCTGATCTTGAATCAAAGCAGATCTGGCTTGATTTAGGGTAATTTACAAGGCTTTTTATTTATAGACAGACTCTTTTCTTTAAGCAATGTTTAGCAACTAGATGCAAAGAGAGGATCTGTTGTCTAGTTTTTGATGAAAAAGAGACATGTCTCTGCATGCTTTTTGTAAAGAATTGAATAGCAATGAGAAAACTCTTCAAATCCCACCCTCTCCAATGCCCCTGCCTCTCTTATAATCAGGCCTGGCCGTTTGAGGTGAGTGATAGCTTATGCTTGCCTCCATGCTCCCTTCGCAACCTCAGGCGAGCTATGAATTGCTCTTCTAAACAGAACATGAAGGGAGAATCGCTCCCCTAGAATTTCCATTCATTTGCCCTTTTCCTATTCAGGAACCCTGAAAACTTACAAGGGTTAATTGGGTTATTTTTGTAACAGCGATTTCTCCTGTCATTGCATTTTTTGCAATTAACTTTTTGCTTGTTGGGCAGTTTTTGTTATGATAGGCATGAACTTCAATCTATTTAGAAAAGGATAGTTAAGCGAAAGGTATGTTTGTAGCGAATAGAACCTTTCAATCTTAAGAAAACAGGCATATTTTTTGAAGGAAAGTCGAAGAAATTGGTAGGAACTGTAGATTGAGGGATATAATAAAACAGCAGGTCCCTTCCAGCGATAGAAACAAAACTATCCCTCAAAGAGAACAGGGTACTCTGTCTTGCGGCATTTACTGAAAAACCCAGATTGGATGAAAAACTATAACGGCGACATGGTTGCATTATTGGCAAAGCCTGATCATCGTTCCATCTAGCAGTTTGTGAATCTGTCTACCATATAAACATGTCAGGGTGCTTTTGTGTGGAAGAAAGGAGTTTGTTTTCACCTTAGGACTCCGTTGGTAACATTTTCAATAGGAATGCGGCACCGATTGGACAACCTCAACAGTCATGTGCTCGCGTTTTCTGATTGGCCTATTTCGATCCAAAACTGGGTATTTTAGCGTAGAGTTTTCCATCTATGTTCTGACGTTTTATACTCTGAAGAGTGTTAGACGGATAACTTAAGTTTGTTTCAAAATTTGTTTTTCAAAGCCATTTTCAAATTCTGTACAACAAGAAGACTGTTTGGCAAGAAAATTGTTGTTTAAGTATTGTGCCAGCTTTACATGAAACTGAAAGAGTCTGTTTTTTTAAATACTTCAAGTAAAGGGGGTGTCTAAGTCACGGTTGAAGCAAATACAAATTGAAAGAAGTAAAACAGCATACTCCTGACTGAGGCTTTAGAGGCAACCGACAGATACTAAAGGGGCTTAATTCATCTGTCAATTGTTTTTAAAGTACATTCTCTATGTGTTACTGATTTAGCTTGCCTCAGCAAATTAGGGGAGCGATTCACAGCTCACCTATAAAAATACAAACGGCCAGGCCTGTTATGATCAAACCTCTTCTCTATACTTTTATAAATTAATCCTGCCGCTCTGATAATACCTCATGTTGGTTTAATGAGAGAAAAGAAACATGTTGATGTCTATTTTGATGATGAAATTATCAAAGAAAAAGTAGAACACAATGCCAGAAAAAATATGGCTATCTAAATTTGTAATTGAAATCTTTCTAATCCTGAAAAGAACACCTACTTTCTTTGTTTACTTTTTGTGTTGAAAATTTAGGCCCGCTTTCTTAAGGCACATTGAAAAATTAATCCTGCCTCTTTGATAATCTCCTCTCTCTAGTCATTCTGCAATAAATTAAGAGGTTAATCAATAAACCTGCAGTGGGAATACAAGACAGAACACAGTATGTTTTTGGTGTATAGAACACAACGGTTCTAAGTTGCCAATTCTAATGTTTCATAAATATACTAGCATGTGTGCTGTACAATATATAATATTATATAACTAGGAATTTAAGTAAAATTGTACTAGGAAAGAATAAAAAAATTAATTACTGACGTTTCAAGCATAGCCCATAATGACTTCTAATGTTGCCTGATTAGTGCATTGACAGGTTGCATTATGATACCCTACCTCAAGAAACTTCCTGTTTTATACACCAAAGAAAGTATATATACACTGTTTGCAACAAAGACAGTTTGTGAAGCTGCTTTGATATATGAATTCCAGGATCCTTGATGTGTGTCAGCATAATTAATAGCAATTTGATGGACATCTGTTCATCTGAAGAAGTAAACCTGACTTTAAAGTTTTCCTTGTAAACCCAGTTTATCCCATGTTTTGGTTGGTTCCTTTTTTGACATTAGTGTTGAATTGAATCAAAACAAATCATCGAACTAGAAATGATGTTAGCCAATTATATTATAATGTATTTATTTTCCTATTTAGCATATCTCCAGAACGGGTTCTGCCTTTTGGAATGAAGGATAATTTCTGGGAAATGGGAGATACAGGACCATGTGGACCATGCACTGAGATTCATTTTGATAGATTGGGTGACCGTGATGCAAGTAGTCTTGTTAACATGGATGTTCCAGATGTGCTTGAGATCTGGAATCTTGTGTTCATAACATTCAATCGGTATGTTTTGTTATTATGAGAATGACTTTCTAGCCTGTATTAGGGCAATTTTTCATTAATAAACCATATTTTTATGTGTTTGTTAGATCTTTTTGTTCCTGTTTTATTGCCATTGTTTTATTCCATTGTCCCATTTTGTTCCATTGTTTTATTTTCTTGAATCTAAAGCTAGTAAGTGAGTTGTAGATAAAGCAATGTTACTTACTTTGTTAACACAAATTTAATCATTGATTTCTGTTAAATAGTTAGCCAAGAGCTTTTGCAAATATTGAAAGGCGAATTTTCTTTGCTAACCTAACGATTAACGTTTGAAATCAACAGCTTTAGCAGTTTTGTTTTTCCTTGACAATTGACTCAAAAGTGTCAACCATGGAGGTTAACTTGTATCCAAAAGCAACCTAAAATGAAGATTTATGTAAGAAAATAGACCCTGTTGATCGAAAGAACACTTTGCCTACAGTTTTCCAGTTTCCTTTCCTTCCTTTCTTATCTTTTTTCGACCTATTTACACAAAATTTTATGGCAATAAGGTTGCAAGCTTTGTATATAAGGAAGTGCAATAAAGTTTCTTTCTCGACTGAATTTTGACTCTGAGCATGGCAGCATTACTAGCGGGGTGTTCAACCCCACTTTTCTATCACACTAAAGCCTCTCCGTTTCTGCTTGATTTTGACATCTTCACTTGAGACCTTACACCCTTCGTCTGCCACAACTGTCAATTTACCAATGCTCATTGACCTTCCGTTTCCATTGACCTTTGCCTAGTTAAAAATTCCAGATATTGTGTGTGTATAAAACGTTACCTCTTTAGCTTTGATCTTCTTGAATCCCTCCCTAGCCAAGCCAAGGATTCAACACAGCAAGAACACAAAGCCAGTCACAGCCAATTTTTTGTTGGTTATATGTATTCTTCTCCCCTTCAACCCTTGAATCCCTTTTATGCGAACTGTTTCACACTTTCATATTACAGTAGCGTCACAGAATAAACTTTTAATTGGTTAGCTTCTCACTCTATCAAAAATCAAATCGCTATGTTGTCTTTGATTCAATGAGCTATAAGAAATATATAATTTTTATAAAGACAGTGCAAAACAAAGACCTTTGAAAATTGGATCACGTTTCCTGCCCTGAATAAGTTGATACTTTAACTAAGGTGAGTAAAATGTAGCATTGGATGTGTTTTCAGCGCTCTCTGTACTTCCAAGCCAGCTGGGGTCATACTCAGTGGACTGACCAGCAGGGGCGGACACTTGGTCAAATATTGGGGGGCAAGCCTATTGTTTTAATAAGATGACGTCACATTTCCCATTGTTTTAGAACAAAAGACCATTGTCCTCTAAAGTATTGGGGGGCGTTCGCCCCCCTCGCCCCCCAAGTGTCCGCCACTTCTGACCAGGACACTGCTCGAATGGCATTGTCTCTCAGCCTAACTTCAGATTCTATGAAGAGACAAAAAACAAATCTGTCTATGAAAGACTGCGAGCATTGCAAGGATTTTTTGTTGCAAACTGGATTGCGATCCTGGCAGTCTTGAGTCTATAAAGTTTTTTTATATGAGTTGTTTTCTTTTGTAGTGAAAATGATGGCACATTGAAACTATTGCCGAAAAAACACGTCGACACCGGAATGGGTCTAGAAAGAATCGCTTCTGTTGTTCAAGGAAAAATGTCAAATTACGATACAGACTTGTTTACTCCATTTTTTGATGCAATTCAAAAGGCATGCTGTGTTTGAACCTTCTTATTCCTTGCTGCTGTGATATGTAGAATCAATAGAAATAGATATGTGTGGAAGACGCTAAGTTAAAATCTTCTCTTTGATCAACAAGCTTATTTATCTACTTTCTGTAACTATCCTGACAAAATAAATTAATCCTCAGATTTAAATTTTGCTATATACGCTTTAGCTGCTGCGAGCCATGTGCTCAAAGAAAGAAAACTTGTTTAAAACTACTTTCTATTAATTTTTTATCAACTTCTAAATGGAACGTTTTTCGCCCACTTGTACACCTGTCCTATTTTAGCTTCTAGCTCATTTGTTTGCTCAGTAACAGAGAATAATTAATATCCATCAAGCACTTAGCATTTATTTGTAAAAAGCAACTGCTTTTCTGAGTGCATAAGTAATTCCATAAGGGTTTTTGAATTATACATAAGTGCATGGTCGTTTCAATACATTGTGGAATTTACCCAACCAAAGCAGCTGTGGAAGTACGCTGTTGCTATTTTCTTTGATTGGTAGTTTTAACGTCATTTATCGATATAAATTATGAATTAGTACTTCAGTCACGTGGATAATTATTCAATCTATCCACCTCCACAATATTCATTCTATCTCCACCACCCCCCCCCCACAGTTTTCATGCTATTTCCACATCCACATTTAATGCAAACCCCACCCCCCCATACTAGACGTTCGTAGTTTGTTGCACCCATCGTTCTTTTGTTTGTAGACTAGTGTCCAAAATTAGCCAAAGAATATTCATGTTCTTATCCTTTTTTTGCTAGGGCACTGGATCAAGGCCTTATTCTGGCAAAGTTGGAGCTGATGACGTCGATGGTTTAGACATGGCCTATCGAGTTTTAGCTGATCATATTCGCACTCTGACTATTGCGTTCTCAGATGGGGGAAAACCAGAAAGCACTGGCAGGGGGTCAGTTCTTTTCCATTCCTTATTTATTTGAAGGGAATTCGCAGTTATTTTTTATTGTTACTTGCAATTAATGTAAATTACTGTTTATCGGGCTGCCGTATATGCTGTACGCATATTATATTGGTGCACGGATGCACGGATAGAAGAGTACAAGGAGCTGTACACGGGTACAAGATATTTGCAATTATAGAATAATTTTGTCATTAAGAGACGAGGAACACAATGTTGCAATCAAGCTTCTTTTTAGCTAGACTTGAGGGAAGGGGTTAATGAACTGAAGCGAGTATCGGATAGAAAAAACACCTATGATTTGCTAGGCCAAACTTATCGGTCTATCTAAAAATATATTGATCCATATAGAGATGAGCATTCGTATGTTCATTTTGATTTGTTGAAGCAATAAATTTTGGATTTGTTAAGAGTCGATGTTTTTCCAAACATTAAAATATGTCATTTCTTCTTGCTTTTAGGTATGTCTTAAGGCGCATTCTTCGTCGTGCTGTAAGATATGCCACCGAGAAGTTGAATGCAAAGCCAGGGATGTTAGCCTCATTAGTTGATGTTGCTGTAAACAGTTTAGGAGATGCATTTCCAGAAGTCTCGAAAGACCCACAAGATGTAAGTTAGGTTCACAGGATGCTTTTCGCTGTGCTGCCAATTTCCTCGCCAATACCCTTCATTTAAACGCAATCGGCGAGTGTAAACTAAATTTTCATGTACCATGTTTTTCTCTGTTATAACGCATTGTTTCGTCACCTAGAGTATTTCATGTCCCATAGCTTTTTTATTGGAAAAATTAGTCTACAGTCTCTTTTGGTGTACTTTGGCAGATTTGCCTTCTAATTACAATTTCGTCGTATGCTAGTGATAAGTATACAAACTATCGATTCAGGTCAAAGATATTATCAATGAAGAGGAAACACAGTTTTTGAAAACACTTTCAAGAGGAAGAAGATTGTTCAACCGCGCTGCAGACAAAGCTGTTGGGAATGCAATCGCAGGTATAATGAAGCTACTTGAACTTATTTTTTTCTTTCTAGGCCTACATCTGAAATAAGAACAGAGAACAGTCTCAATCTCTTTATAGTTTTATTTGTAGTAGAAAGCTTGCTGGGTTGTTCAGTGTATGTTTCATGGAATTCGTACAGTTCAATCGAGGACTTTGAGACTCTTTCAGTTGCACTTGCTTGTTTATGTTACATTACCGCACCAGATCATAGACGAGAAAGCTTGTTTATATTGATTGAGAACATATTTGAGGTAGCCAGAAGACACGGAAATTATGTGACTTTTGCTAGTAGCATAATATGACAGTATTTTGAGCGAAAAATTTAAATTTGCCAAAAGTTGCAGCTTTATTTTAGCACTCAAAGACAAGAACGTTATGTAAAATAAAATACACGTAAATCTTCTGTATACTCAAATGAAGCTTGATGTTAATTTTAAGGTGACTTGGCATGGAGACTGTATGACACCTATGGTTTCCCTGTCGATTTGACTGTTCTCATGGCCGAAGAAAGGGGTTTGACTGTAGACATGCAAGGATACAATGAAGCAAAAGTAAAGGCACAGGTAGGCCAGCTTCCGAAGACGTGATTAAATGTAGAAAGGATCAGGGTTAAAGCTATGTTTTATAATTAAAGGAGTCTCTTTTTACAATTAGTTTCTTTTGGCTATAACGAATTCTTATCGGCATTGTTGCAAGTTTATTTTTTCTGTTGCTCTGTTTGCTTCTATACAACAAGGGGACTAGCCACTTTTTAACGGCTAGTTTTACACAGATCTCATGTTGTACTTGTTCTAACCAGCACAACGTGCATTAGGACGTTTTCAAGCGAAGGTAAACACGGCCAAGCTATTAGTGCACGTTAAAGTGTCATTTCCAATTAAATTAAAAGGAAATAAGTTAAAAACAAAGTTTTTTTAGTTCACATACGTAATGACCTACAGGACATTGAATTACATCTAGTTGATTTTAAATGTTTACCTAAAAGCTGTGAAAAATGAAGATAATTACATGATTGTTGAAAAACAGTTAAAAAGAATAGAAGTAATAGATCAAATCATTTATAATTATTGCCTTAAAATGGAACCAATATGAAAGTAGAACATTGATGTAAAAAGCTGTTTGTTGAGTGATGGGTACGCATTTGAACGTGTATGCATGAATAGGGCGAAAGGGGAACAATGTTGATAACGTTTCCCCCAGTATAGGGGCTTCAGAACTTAAGAACTCATTTTGATCGACAAACCCTATACTGGGGAAATCGTTACCATTATAGTTGCGTTAAAGCTGTATCTAAAACGGAAAAATCATCGCGGGAGCAAGGCTTTTTACAGGCAGTCGAGTCCTGAAGATATTTAAAGATGTGGGAATTGTTTGGATTTTAAATTTGATGGTGTGTTATAGACATATTTTTCCCGTTAAGGAAATCGCGCGAAACAAAGGGCCGGGTGAAGAAGACACCGTTGGGTTGGACATTCATTCTCTTGATGAGCTGCAAAAGAAAGGAATCCCAACAACCAATGAAAAACCGAAGTACAATTACGAAGCCGATGAAGATGGCAATTATGGTATGCAGGTTCTCAATCTGTATAAAGTACCAGTTCTTTGTGTTGTGTGAAACTCATAATTTCAGATCTTAAGTATGATTTATTTGAAAAAACAAACACTTGAGTACACTTAAGCTTTTCGTCTGACACTCTTCAGAGTATAAAACGTCATAGAACATAGATCAAAACACTGAGATAGGAAATATATATACCCAGTTATGGATCGAAATTGGCCAATCAGAAACGCAAGCACATGACTTTAAAGGATGCCCAGTCAGTGCCGCTTGCCTATTGAATTATTTCTTCAATGTAATTTTTTACCAAGAGTCAGTATAAAAAAATGCGACAGATTTCGTTTCACACAAGCTAAAGAAAAAATGAAAGTATTTTTTAAAACGTTCGTTTTTGGATTGTTATACTATCGGAGAAAGTTTCGATGATAGGCAGAAAACAGGGTCTATCCTAGAGAGGCGGGGTAAAAGCAGGCCCCAAAGGCTATCTTGTTTGTGGGATTCTCAAAGCCCATTATTTTCCTTTTATTGGACAAGCACGCCCTTGCTAGTTGGTCTCGCTCGCCTTTAAAAGAACGCACAGTCAAGAAGTAAATTAGAAGGCTCTCTGAGTCATTTGATTTGTTTGATTAACTGTAAAAAGTAACAGATCAAAACTGAATTAAGTACGCTCTGTAGAAGCTGTTGGTTATTAGGTGTGCAAAACCAGTTACTGTTTAATCATTTTATGTTGAATTTTGCAAGTTTAATTTCTCCTGCTCGTTTAAATTCATATCCTCCTCTTTATTCTTCGGGATATATAGTTCGTTGAAAAAGTCCCCTGAGAAAGTCAATTGAAAAGCTTTAGGTTGATAACTTTAAAGCCTTTACTGGATATTAGTTGATGATCTGTGATATACTGCTTGCGAAAAACATATTTTATGCGATGGTTAAAGCAACTATTTAATTTATTTGTTTACTGTGAATGAATTTGGCGGGGCTAGAGCAAATAAAGTCGAAGCGAAATGAATGTTTTTTTCGTAAAGATAAACATGTACCTGCAACCGAACTAACTCGACTAATCCGTTTTGTCAACATGGGTTGGCCAGTGTAGGCAAATATTATGCTGACTGAAAACTGCTGATATGTTGCCACGAAATTCAATTGCTTTACGCTGGACACTTTGATTCCTTCCTTGTTGGTCTTATGTTTTTATAATATTCTCGTTTTATACTAGTTCCCTGATTTTAAAACGACCAATTTTTTTTATACATTTTCAAAAAGTTGCATGACAATTTACTGAAATACCGTTAACTACACGCTACTTGACATACACTTCAAAAACGATACCATGGGGAGCATCGACTATAACTGTCCTGGGGCCATAACATAGCGGTGAAAAAAACACATTCGTAATTACAGGAGTGGTGTGGTTTGGTATATGAGATGTAAATTTTAATTGAAGTGTTTAGTTTTAAAAAAATGCTTTATTGTGAGATTTATAATTTACTTGTTAGCTTCCAAGGGAAAATCTTTATTTCCATATAAATGGAAAAGGCTCTCAAATACACTATAGCCATCAACGTTACTGCCTATTGAGAACATCCCATTTTTCACCAAATGATCAGATCCCTGCACTTTTCAAATATTTTGTAATCAGATAATGGTTTCACCCTTGGGTCGGATTTTTTTTCCTTATAGGATAAAACAAGGATTTTAAGATTGATAGGGCCTAGGATTTTACATGGTATTGCGTTTCTAAGACTAAAGAGTTGACTTTACACTATTTCTTTCCCTAGAAGATAAGTAATTTCATTGCTCGTTTAACTGGGTGTCGATGTTTCATCGTTTGAACTTTGATAACGGCGCTCAATCATTCTTAAACATTGGAAGTTTTCTTAAAAATATGATTGAAGTCTGATATTTCGTCTGCCTGAGCTCTTTTGAAGATTTGTCTTGTAACTACATTGCCAATTCTCTCTGATCTTTCACCAGGAGATTGATTTTGCTTGATAAACCCTCAAACCTGAAAAAGTTCTGCAAATTAAGAACCAGTCTAGCACCTTATTTTTGAGGAGCTTGGAGTAGCTTTTAAAAATTACACGAAAATTCCAAATTTATTCAAGCTTTTGGTAATCTTTTGTTCAGCCGAATGTCTCAGTGTATTCGGCAATGGTTTGAATAAGGCGATATTTTTGTAAACTATATAATTAAATTGTTTTTCAGTGTTTACATCGATAACAGCAAAAGTTTTGGCTCTGAGGTATAATAAAGAATTCGTCAATCAGATGGAAGCTGGAGAAAGTGGAAAGAAATGTGGCATGCTCCTAGATTCATCCTGTTTCTATGCAGAACAAGGTGGACAAAGTTGTGATTACGGATACATGAACAAGGAAGGAGATGAGGTCACTATCTTTACTTACTTAACAGTTAACCTGCAGGGAAAGTAACTTTTAACGAAAATTATATTATTGACTTGTATCTGGCTGTCGTTCTTACCTGTTACTGTTTAATCAGATCTGGAGATCGATTCGCTGTTAGTACCACTTCTTCACTTTTTTCATTCAGTCCTCAGGATTTGTCTAGCACTTGGAACAGTGATGACGTAATTTCTTAGTATACTTTAAACAGTTGGATCTTTAATAAGAATAGTAATTCATTTCCAGGAAGTGGAGTTCTCAGTAATTGATGTCCAGGTGCATGGTGGTTATGTACTTCATGTTGGCAATCTCGAAGGAACCATTAGTGTTGGGGACACAGTAACGTGTTTTATTGACGAGGTTTGTTTCTTCTCAAGTTGATGTCATTGATATCCAAGAGTGCACAGTAGCACAAGGGTCTGCTGAACCACGTGTATTACGTTGTCCTGTTAAATTAAGTAGGGAAGCTAATCTAACGTGGTTTTGAGTAATCAGGCTTGCAATTTATCGCCTTGAAGCTTAGATTGTTTTGTTCTTTAGCCTGGTTAAGATGAGTTTGAGATTTTCTCGTTAACTTTGGAGCAGCTTTTAGAGAAAGAAATTATTGAATTATTGAAGAGCCATATACTTTTGAATTCTTACTAGCCCTAAACGCTTGAGCACCTTCAAGCCAAGCTATTAGGTTTTTTCTTTTACGTTGTAGTGTAAAATTCTACTTTTTAAAATTAAGTTGTACTTGCTTAATTTGCTTTCGTAGAGATATTTAAAGAGATATTTTCAAAGAGAGAATATTGGTAAAATATTGTATTGGAAAAAAATATTTTCAGTGTCGGTTAAATTTATTTCTGCTTGAATGTATCTAGCTTTGAAATATATTAGCGCATCAAGATATCTCATTTTGGCACGGTTATACCTCTTTGATCAAATTTACGTTAAATAATTAATTGAAATTTTTAATAGTTACTATTTTCTCTCTAGGAAAGGAGACGCAATCTAATGAATAATCACACAGGAACACATCTGCTGAACTTTGCGTTACGAAAAGTTCTAGGCTCCGCTGATCAACGTGGGTCGCTTGTTGCCCCAGACCGCTTGCGGTTTGATTTTACAGCAAAGGTATATTCTGCTTCTTCATTTTGTCTCAAGTAGTGCAATTCTTTTCAATGTCTCGTGTAGTGGAAATTAGTACGATACGTTTAGAGGCTCTTGCGCAACCGGCATGCTTTGCAGTAGCCGGTTTTTTAAACGGGGAGGAATGGACTGCATTTGGTAATTTTATACAGTATGATACTTGGCAGGTTTCAAAAATAAAGTCGCAAAGCATGCCGGTTTCGGAAGAGCCTTCAAACGTATCTTACTAGCTTATATTGAAAACAGTGATTTCCAGGCCCTTTGTTATCTATTGTTAAGGATGTGAGACAAGCTGTACTATTTAGTCTTTAATTGCTGGTTCATAATGATAAAATGCATTGTTGTACAAGATATCTTTTAGCCTGCACAGCGAAGACTTCTGTAGAATTCTTAAATAATGACGTAATAAAGAGCTATTTTAAGAACTTTTCGATCGAATTTTGGATCAAATAACCTGAGAAACATCATGAAATATCTCCAAATGTGTAAGATCAGTCAAATGTGCTACAATTTTGCTGAGATTTTGGCAGATGAGCAAAGGCTCTTTCTTAGTCAAATAACCGTAATTAGTCTTGGTCCTAAGCTGTATAAGCCAGGCCAAAATGATATTACACTTTGAGTCTTTTGTAGGCCATATCTTACCCAAGTTTTGAAACAATCTTAAAGACTCATTGCTAACAATGAGCCTTTGCGCGCGTGGCAAATCGTCCAGGCGACGATACAAAAAATAGCAGTAAACTTCTACGGATCAATCAAAATTGATTTAAGACTGTCTGAAAATGCATTATGGGATGCCTACGCAGCGCAGTGGCTTGTTGTTAGCAACGACACTTCAACTGATTTTGCACCTTCATTGGCTTTTCAAGGTGTTCGTTTAGGTTATGCGGTAAAAGGTCAAAATGACTTAATATAGATTTTTTTGTCGCCGCACTGAAGAACTCTATTGATCAGGCTGGCAGGCTCTTATAAAGTTTTTTTAAAATCAGCATCTATTTTTTATATGATGATTATATGCAAAATGTATAAAAAGATACAAGGTTCTGCACTTCAATAGCTAGTATTTCCATATCGATAATCGCAATTCCACTTGATATTTTTTTCAACTTTTATTAATGCTATATTGAACGCTTCGTTAGCGGAAGCACCAAATTATAGGGCATCTCAAAAGTAGGGAGGTAGGTTTCTTCCATCTGACTGATGTCTTGTACAAGTTATTTCCAAACAACGGATACCTTGCTGTAGCGGACAAAGTAGGTGTCCGGTATACAGAGATATTTCACTGTGTTTTGTCAATGGATTATACATATCAAAAGTATCTAAAAAAGCCTGATTCTACAGTATCATTCCAGAATTTTAAAATTACCACTAGTTATGTTAAGCTTTTGACTTTAAATTTGAGATAATACAAAGTTGGGACCAAACATTAAAACAACTAATGAATGATCGCATTTGATTAGGGTGCCATGAAAACTGCCGAGCTGAAAGACACAGAAGAAATCACGAGAGGAATGGTTAAAGAAAACTTTGATGTCTTTGCTACGGAAAGCTCTCTTGCTGTGGCAAAAGATGTGCAAGGCCTTCGTGCCATATTTGAAGAGGTTTGTACTCTGTATAAAATCATGTATGATTTGGTTTGGAGGCAATTTGTAATTTTTCACTTTGCACACCAACGCTGATTTCAAAGTTTTTGGCAAGTTGCTATTTAAACATATTTTGGATTTTCAAGCATGCCTTCTTTGTAACTGACAGACAATTAATTATCAGGTTTGATTGTCTTTCCGTTAGCACAATTTTTACATTTGCAGTCATTTTAATTAAAGTTCAAAAATGGCTGGAGTACGCTTTCATCATGTCATTTAATCAGCCGGTTGCATTCTTCTAAGCAGCTAGAAGAATTACAATTAGTGAGAAATTTCGAAAAATTTATCTCGTTTCGTTGTTTCCCCTTTCTTCATTGTGTTTCTCCATAAGGGTCGATCGAAAAACAACTTTCACTATACACAATGACTGTTTTAAGTTTTATCGCTCAATATCGAAGGACTGTTTTGCCTACAAGGCAATGCGCTGAGGTTTTTATATTATGTTTTGCGAAACTGAATTAGCTGTGTGGAGGTGTGCTGTTTGATGTAAGAAGTTTGGAGATATAGGTCTTATATTGGTCGAACACTTCATCAAAAATGTTGTTTATGGCATTTTCAACTGGTGATATTTGATATGGAACTTTTTCTTTGATTACAAAGCTTTGAAAAGGGCATTTTGTAGAAAAACACTGATCGAGCCAGTGATCGACACTGATTTAACAAGGATTTGCAAATAGCTGACGCAATGAAGAAAACCCAGCACAGAGTAGAAAAAGGAATATCAAGGATTCTTCTTGAAAAGTGCTTCGCTTCCGTTCAACCGTGGACCAAGAAATTCAAGATTCTAAATAAGCCTATAATACTGCAGAGTTTCAAAATTGCTTGCAAAAATGGAAACTTTTTTAGAGCACTTTATCGCGTGATGCTCTCAGAATATAAAATGTTTGGCAATGAACTAGCCATTAATACATTCCCAAGAGCGTTCCTTTCATCTAGTGACTTTTCTTGTACGTCTTTGCAGACCTAGTTATTTAAATCTTCGGTGTTGAAACGGAACAATTTTGAATGGCCTCCTGTTTGGATAGAATCAAATTCTAGCAATATCCAAATAGTTGCATTTTGAAGTTTTCCATTCTTTTTTGTATAAGATTGCTCAGCAGGTGAAAGGCTATAAACTTATTACTTCTGCATAGATCGCGCTATTTTTTAAAATAAACAAAGATTATTGTATTAAACAATGTTTGTCGCACTCTTCAGGTAGATAGAAGATTCATTCTGATTCATTCACAAGCCTGACAGTATGCAAGATTGCAAGTCAATTATGAATAGAAATCTCTTTCACTTATTCTTATTCCTTTTTAATAATTTTAATGATTTAGTTAGCATTGTAAGTAATTGCCGTATGTGATAGCTTTACACTCCACTTGCTTTGATAGCCTCTCTTCATCATAAGTTCTCACTCATTTCATATTATTCATTAACAATGCTTTTGTGCTGTATTGTAAATCTCCGTCTACTTGTCGGTTGGCAACGTTTTAGCTGGCTAATTAGAAGATGGAATATATAATAAACAGACTGGTCTGATTACACAGGATGGTTTGAATCTATCTTGTACCAACTTTCCACAGGTTTATCCAGATCCTGTTCGTGTTGTTTCCGTACAGTACCCATTGCAAAAACTGATCGACGACCCACAAGCTGGCTACAAGACATCCGTTGAATTCTGCGGAGGAACGTAAGTGGATCATGTAGCTACAAGTTCATATTGCGGTCGAAGCTTTCAACTTTTCTCGTTGACCTTCATGATTCTTCATTTTCATTTCATTTCATTTTAAATTCTTTATACGCAAAAATCCCTTCAGCTTACAACTAAATACCAAAGAAGAAAATAAATCTTATCTTTCTTACGTTATTGATGTCTGTGTTAAAATTATCTTGAAATTTTCTAAAATTATCTTTTCCTTCAATAGTTATCTCATTTAAGTAACTATCTATAGTTAATTTATTTTATAGGAAGTCTCTTTAAGTAAGCTTTACATTGTAATCAGTGTTATAACATTGCACTGTTAATGAATGTTTGTTACTGCTATTGCAATTTCTGGTTAACGTCTTTGTATTATAGAATATTTAAGCAATAACTCAATATGTCCACTATAGGCGTTTTTTAAACGCATTATTTGACTAGTGGTTAAGCAAGCAAGCATATTTAAGTAGATGCTGCATATTGACGTGTTGGTTTGGTTGTCGGATGGTTTTATTTTGCTTGGTTTCCTTGATTTGAATTCCAAATATTTGATCAGCTCAGCCTACCATAGTTCATTACTGTAGCCCAGCAATGCAGCTGGCATTCAAACTGTTGTGTAGATTTGTAATTCACTGAGAAGGAGCTAGCGTTGCAAGAATTTCTGGTTAAATCAAGAAGTTTCTTTTCTTGGGAAAGGTAATCACACTTCGGTTTAAAGTAATAGTGCACTGTTGTCTGTCTGGGATGATGCATTCCAGCAGACTTGTAATGCTGTTTTCGTATTATAGGCAGGTTGTATCAGGCGGCAACTGCAGAGTGTTCTGTACAAACAATACTATTGTACCGTATTTGCTATAAAATCTATCAAAAGGCATGTAGGAATGAAACACGAGTTTTATGTCTTCTTCGATCGTCAATTTCATTAAATGATTGAATTTTACTGTCTGGAATTTTGGTATTATGATGTTATTTTTTGCTGTATTTTTTCTGTTTTCTTTTATGCGTCTTGTCGTACATTTTTGATATAATTATTTAAGTAGCTGTTGTGTGTTTGAATCAAAGTTGAAGTACTAGATCTTATGCGAGTGCGGAGGTTTATGAAGTTCTCGTGTGATTTGCCATATACATTGCTTGATATTCTGGTGTTATTTGTTATCCGGCCAACGCACACCGAGAGTTGTCGTAATAAATTCTGAACGCCCGGATGCACCACTGCAGTCAGTTATATCCTTTGGTTGCAACCATTGGTTGTGTTGCTCAGTCAAAACTGTCTAGATTTCAGTATTAATCTTCCATTGGCAAACTCCTGCTCTATAGAACCGTGATACAATATACACACTTTTTTTGATAACGTTAGACCAAACTACTGAGAGTGTTTTTATGTAAATAGCAATCATGGTTTTGAAGTTTGATTGTAACTAGGTGATGTATATCAAGTCATTTCCAGTTGCCTTAGACACCTTCCGCATGGTTTATAACGATCGTAAAAGCCAGTGTTTCGAAGAGGACATGAGCTGGAATCAATTGTCTCCTGTCATAGTGACAACAATCAAATTGTCTTTTCCTGCTCCTCACTTTCATCACCATTGACTGGATTGTTCGCACATTTAATCCTAAAATCTTAAGTGCTGTAAATTATTCATTTGAAGTTTTCTGGAGTACAGTTCAATGGTGCGTTTTTTGGAATGAGCTCGGGTAATCATATCTCGATATTGAAAAGAACATTACTTTTGATTACCTTATTTCTAGCGTCTTTGGCTGTGGACTGTCGATTTTGCTTTGTTATTGGAACCCTTTTATCTAGTTCTTTCCATTCCTCTGTGAGCAGATGGGCCTGCTGGAGAAGAGGGAATCTTTTCCACGTGGTCATCAAAATAAAAATTTGCTCATAAGTGAGCACATCCATCGCTTTCTGTATTAAAGCACGCTCGATGAATGGGAGCCAGTGCGTATATCATTTCAGGAAGCCAATATATTCTTAGATATCCATTTATATAAACCCAAACTATGGCCGTTCTAAGTTCCCAAATTTTTTTTCTATTTGTGCCCCATGAAGTGAAAGTCTTCATTTCATGACTGAAATCTAAATGGGTTTTTTTTCGTAATATATACTAGCTATGTTCAGTTTGATATGAATAATTTCTGCACCAATCAGAAGGCTAACTCACAGTGTTTACGCTTTCTTAAGAATCACTAATACCTGTGTATCATTTTTGTTGAGTTGGTATCTTAGAAGCACGTGGGCTGGTAAACAGTACTGCTTGTAAACAGGGGCGTACCTTGACGATTTGGAGTGGGGGGGGGGGGGATGTAAACGGGTTTTACGGTCTTACGAATTTATGGACCAAAATTCGACTCTTGCTAGTCAATGTATAACTTATTTTACAGTTATCTATTGTAAATTTTAACTGTTTTATCAATATGATCTTCTCAATAACAAGCAAATGAGATCCTTCCACGTGCTATCAAGATACGACCGACAATCCATAACATTTGCCGACCATCCCAATTTATCAACTTTTCAAAAGTGGATTGTGTGCCCCCCCACCCCCGTAGGTACGCCCCTGCATGTAAAGCCAATTATTTTTGACAGGAGCACCATGAAATTAATATCTAGCTTCAACACATATATTTACTTTGTGAAAAAATCTTCCTTGAATAGGTAGATCATTCAGCTTTGAATTTATTTGGCATTTTCCTACCAAGGTTTCAGAAGTGTTAATTAGTTTCTGTTCTGAGGCTCAACAGGTTTTGATTGAGAGGTTCCCAATGTTTTTGTTAACAAATGTAACAGAATTCATTTTTAGATTTAAACAGAATTCATTTTATCATATATTCAATAAGATTAACTATTATTGCCAACAGCTTTTGTGGAATAACAAGATGAAATGTTTAAGTTTATTACAAACTTTGATATTTGTAGCAATTTTTCAAAAGTAAATGTACTAGTGTTATTCAAAGCTAGTATTATACAAAGTTTTGGGTTAGAAAATGCGAACTGTTTTAAAATGCTTTTAACTGGATAATTTTTGTTTTAGAGGGGGGAAGTATGGGGTCTAGTGAAAGCCCTCTGTTCTCTTTCATTTCGATTGACGGACTATCATGGCTATTAATTCTCACATCTTGACCAGTATAAGGTTTTTTGTTAACGCTTCCGTTGTTATCAGTAATCAAATGTGTAATTGTAGCAACCTACAATCTGCAACCTAGGATCTTAATATTTGATGAAAGTGTTAATTTTCTTAAGATTATTGTACTTTTATATCATATGCACCCAGACAGTTTAACTATGCACTTAGTCTTTTTTCTTGTTAGTTGCACGTATTGCAATTCAAACAACATGTTTGAGTCATTGAGTTATCAAAGTATAAGATTTTCTATCTGTGTTGTAGTTAATGTAAATAAGCTGCGTATCATTTATTGTTCATTGTAAATTTCACAAGACTGATAAAATATTTACACGTTAAACTTTTTTCTGAAGGTAAATTGAATACATTGTCTGTTATCTCCCATGAAGCAGGTAGCGAGATACGAGTTCCTCATAAGTGTTTTCTTATTGTAGCCATCTGAAAAGAACTGGGCATATGAAAGATTTCGTCATCGTTTCTGAAGAGGCCATTTCTAAAGGGATCCGAAGAATCGTAGCAGTAACTGGTCACGAAGCAGAAAAAGTAAGTTATAATGACTTCTCTTTAAGCTAAGTAGTTTGTTGTTCTGTTCAGCTCACGAAGGATTCTTTCTCAGCTGCTTTTAATGCCGTTTGCTCTTCCAATTACTTCCTAGATATCGTGATTCATTTTAACAGTGTCTATGTATTTCGCCTACCTTTATCGAGCTGCACTAAACGGCTTAATTCAGAATGATACACTGCGGCGTGTGAAGGGAAATTTATGGTTCTGTTTATTTTCAAAGACGTTATCAAATATCGGTAAGAGGTTGTACTCTATCGTTTGCTTATGCAAAAAACGAGTCAGGGAAATGAAAAGAGAAAAAGCTTAATAAACTGAAAAAACTTAAATCTGTTGCGCCATTTTTTAAATGCTCCTCTGCTTCGTCTTGAAGAGAGTACAGGAATTTGACATGAAATGATGGGATTTGATGGGATTTTGGGTATTATAGTTGTCGAAATGAAATGAATTTGAAATTAACTGTACGAAAAAGGGTTCGGAAAGTATGTTCCCTGCTTTGGGAAATGAAAACTATAATAGGTAGGTTCCTTTTTCTAAATTTCATCAGACATTGCTCTCTTGTCCAGACCTGGTCATCCCACGGCCCATTGGCCATATTCGACCCTTTCGACATTTCAGTCCGGCCCGTGCAGGTCTGCGGTCAGTCAGAGCATGAAATTTTGTAGGAATATTTTCCCACTTGACGAACACGAAAATTTCATGTATTTATAGAAACATTTATGCATTATCTATATCTTCCTGACAACTAGTAGAAGCAAAAATATTGCTTGTCACATTGGGAAAATGAATATTGCACATAATAAAGTTATTGTTGGTTTAGGCCCTCAACAGAGTTCAGGCCCCTTTAATGTGGCCCCTTGTTGAGATTAATTGCCTCCTTGCTCTAGTCAAACACAAACTGGTTGGTACCACTGACAAATACTTAAACAAACGTAAGGTCCATGACATTTGATATATGAATAGTCGTCGTTGGATTTAAAGCCTTTTCGATTTTGCTCTTTTCATTAGCTGGAAGTCAAGCGTATATAGTTGATGCAAACAGTCAATTGCAAACGACGTACTTTCACTATATCAACATTTTAGCTTTTTAGCTAATTTCTTGTTTGCTAGAGCGCTTCATATTTACCGCCATTTGCGCTTTTGCGAGAAATCAGACCATTTTTTATTATTCATGACGTCTTTTGGAAAGTTTTCGAGTATCGTATGAGTTTTATATTAATGACTTTGAAACCTAACGACCAGACAGGTAGAAGCATTTTATGCGATCATCCACATATAATGACAATGCTTTAAGCACAATAGTCACTTGATTGGTCTCGTATGATCAAATAGCTTTCTTTTAATGTAAATAGGGCAAGATCTGGAGCGCTTGTCATTTGCTGTTCAGTTAGAATTGAAAAAGTTTTCTATATCGGAAAAAGGAAAACTGCCCAGTCTGGTTGAAAATTCTGCGCTGAATTGCAACCTGTTTGGTAACCAGTAGTTTTATGAAGAGAAAGAATGGTAACACGATGTCTTGTAATGTATTGCAGTTTATATGAATTCCAATTCATGTTTCAAGTCACTTCTGAAAAAAGGCAAAAGAGTCTTTAAATGATGATCTGCTTTGTTGCATAGAACAGGGCTATTCTAAGTTCCAACTCTCAGTTTCACGTTTAATGCGATGATCAGGCAAGGGGCATCACTGCCTATACCTTAACGAGCACTCCACGACAGACCGGTAAAACATTAAAATTAATATCTTAAGAAGGTTATTTACGAGTAAAAGAGATACGAATTCGCATCTCTCCAGAAGAGTTAAACTTTACCTCCCTACAATAAGATCCCAAAAGATATATTTCACTAAAATTGAAGACACAGCAAATTTAATCAATGACCTTCGTATTGAAGCACCGTCAAGTGGTTGGTCTTTTCAGTCTGTTACTAAAACGAATTCTGCTTTTTTACGATCACCGAGCCATCAACGCGTCAAGTGCCTAATTGTCATGCATAGCTTGAAACACGTTATTCCAGAAAACATACTTCAACTTTGTAGGTCGGCCTTGATGACGCTATTTCACATCTATCTCGCCGACCTTACAACTGCTGTTCTCTCTGTAAGATACTGCGTAGCAAAGACGGTTTTTCTAGCAAAAGTTTTGAACTGCTATAAGTTACTTCTGATATTAGCTAATTATAGTTTTAGGTAACCCATTAAGGAGATAAAACAGATTCTTCTAGCAGTAACAGGTGTCATTGATTAAATGACGTCACTTAATTTTGATAATAAGGCTCGTTGCTGTATGTAGCTGTGAAGTGAAGGTGCGTATGTGAACTTTTTACAAGACATATCTGAAATAGCAACAATGGCGTTAAATATTCAGATTTAGTGAGTCATTGCATAATGATTTAAGTTAAATCCACACATTACGTGAATGCCCAGAAGCCATCGTGGGCCCAGATGGCATTGGCAGATGTGAAACTGGTCTTCCTAAGTCTTCCTGGGCTATTGCCAAGATACTGAAACTCTAATCATAAAAATCAATCTGATCTTGTTTTGGCGAGGTTTTGCCAAATGTTTTTACTGGGGCAGATTTACTGCATAATACATTTACATATTTTATTGGTAAATATTGGTAAATATATGTTAAAGATTGAAGTAAAACAATTCAGCTGTAGAAATTACATTCATTTGATATCGTCCAATCTAATATAAAAATGTCTAATAATAAAGCAATTAAATTGTGGGAAATAATGATTTAAGTTCAGTATACTGGGCTACTAGCCCTGATATGCTCTTGACCCGTCACGTTATGTTACATCAAAGAACTTCATTGCTAGACTAGGGTATTTGCCTTTGGCTGACATTGTTCTCAACAATCAATAATAAATGTTGCAAAATTTTTCCTCAATCAAAGTAACATATAAGGTTAAGCCTTGTGGGTCAAACCATCCTCAATAACAACTCTTAACGAAAGCAGCATCCTTGCTTGCTAAAGCAAAAACAGTTTTAATCCAGCCAATTCAATTCACAGTCGTAGAACCCAAACCTCGATTTGCCAAAAAAAGTCAGGAACAGCTTTAGAATAAGCCAAGCCTGAGATAAAAATTTAAAGAAAACAAGTCAGTTTTGAAATTTCCTCTCGTTTAAAAATGGTCACTGTGCTACAAAAAATGTCCTACAAGACCATCATTTAGTTGTTGTAGAAACGATTTATAGTATGTAGAATGAGAAAATTATTCTTGAAGTAAGAATGTTAAGAACACCCGGTCCTCAATTTGTCAAAAACAGAAAACGAAGTCTCGGCAAAGATTATCTGGTTCTTGTAAAAATGCGTTTATCTGGGATATCGAAAAATAAAACTGCTGGTAGCTACATGATGCTAAAATCACAAGTGTCTTTCAACCAGATCCATGATGTACTGCCATTTAAAAGTAATTCATAGATCTCTTCCATCTCTTTTTAGCCTCTTCGATTGATCTCCTCGCCTTTTGGGACGGCAATATCGTTGATTGGAATTCTATCTCTAGTGTTTTTCGTGATCCAGGGCTCAAAACTAGATTTTTTCCTGTGAATCTTTACTTTGTGATTAACATCATTTAACATCTGTTTAATAGCAGTTGTTTAATATCCTTATGGAATAATTTCCCTGTTAGAAAAGTAAACGTTTAATGACATACTAAAGATTTTCTTCTAAAACTCTTCAGGGGATAAAACGTCAGAATAACGGCATTTTCTACTCTAAAGAGTGTCAAACGAACAGCTTTCAAATGTTTTAGAATGTTTTTCAAAGCCATTTGTAAGTTTTGTTCCACGTAAGTGTTGTTTAAAAATATATTTTGCGCTCTATCAGTTATTAAAAATCAGGCTTTTATATACATAGATTACAAAACTTTCATGGCATTCTCGATTCTAGGAGAGGGCGTCTTCACACCAAAATTTATGTAATTAAGGCTACCTACAAATTTTATAGAAATAGTATATTTCAATGACTCAGGCTATGATTTATATCTCTAATATTGTGAATACATATTTTTGTGAAATTATTCTTCTCCTGCCTTTGAAACTGCTTTTTGTTTTGCTAACGTCAATGTTGACAAATCTTTTGTGACATGCAAGCATTATACAATATGACCATGCCTACATGATCAATCTACCGGGAAGATGTTTCCCTTCTTTTTTTACCCATTTGCATCGTAGATTATACACGTAACCCTAGTATATATCTGCTTATCAGGTTCTAGATCACAAACAGGTACAGATCCCAAAGAATGGTAAATTTTTTAACACAATGTTCCCTATCTAACGCGTCCTTTTCTGTTTATCTGGGACGGTGTATATTAAAATTACATCTAGTTGAAATTCAAAGCACTCCGAATCTCTGTGGCGTTTTAAACAAAAGGGAAAATTTAAAGAAAATATATATAACCGGTTTATACACGAAATATCACATTTTTTCTTACCAACATAAAACGTTAAAGTACGCTCAGCATACATGGCGTTCATTTTAAAAAACAACAAGATAGCGAAGTTAGACCAGCTTGTTACTATGAATGGGCTCTGTGAATTTACTCAGAGCTCAATCTTAATTTTTTCATTCCCATAAAAGTTTGAATGAAACATACGGAGGTTTAAAGACGAGGTCGCAGGGAGCATGGAAATACAAACCAGCCCTGCGACTATAACATTTAGCATAACAATTCAACACTAAATACGAATCTAAATATTAACGATTACATGATGCAAATAATAATTACATGAAGTAGCAAAAAAACAATTGAAGGAAAACACAAATCACACAAGCGAGAAGGTTTTCAACAGCAACTTATCGAAATCGTTATGATGCACAAATGTATCTCAAGGTTTTCTCTAGAATTTCCATATTTGAATCAAATGATAACTTTTTGTGACCATACGGGACGATTTCGAGTAGGTTTTCATTTGAAATGTTTACAAATTCATGGGGTCGCAATAGTGCGTCCACACTACTGAGAAGATTACGTCTATCCGTGTCATAAGTTAACTCTTCTATGTTACTAGACTACTCTACGTTCTATCTGGTTAACTGGTCACAGAGTTTTCATTGCCTGTGCGCTTTCCTCTTTGGTATTATGGTATTCGCAAACGATTGCGGATTTCCATTACCAATCGCTAATGATCTATCTCAGCTACGTTTGAGCCATGACATCTAAAGTTTGTTACCATAGGGAGTGCGTTGTAATGTGTCAAGATATTATGCGTTGCTTATAAGTCTTTTGGCGTACAAGCAAATGCAGTTGCACATCTGCTAAATTGTGAGATAGACATTAATAACTAATGTTTTGAGGCCTGTTTGCCTGTGGTTAAAACGTTCAACATTTCAGCTATTGCTTGATAGACTATTTTGACTATTGCAGGCGCTAAAACACTCCGCTATGCTTCAAGAAGACTTGGATGCTATCAGAATAAAGTTGGATGAGCAGAACACTAATGGAGAGTTAAACATTAAGTCAATGACACAAGAAATTATTCGCATGACCGAGGTAAGCGTTTTTAAAAAACTGCGCAAGAATTTGATATAAGAAATTTGCAATCCTGAAAGAAAATATTGCTGGAGTTCCCAGTAAGTATCAGATAAATCCTTATTCTCTTGTTTCTTTCTTCTTGCTCGCAGAAAACATTCTTTGACATTGACATTGTTACGCAACCTGGAGCAGACACAAAATTTTATTTATATTTGCCTGCTAAGTCAATTTATTAATCATTGTATGTTTTTAAAAGTCAATCAACTTCAATAAAAAGCGTGCTTTTTTCTTGGTCTCGAAGGCAATCATAGTCGTATATAATTCAAAGAAGATCTCAATATAACGGTGTGATTTACTAAGCGCTTCAGACACGATTTGTTACCTAAACCTTTATCTTTCTTTTTTGTCATTTTGTTCATATTCATAATGATTTCTGGCTAGCTTGTTCAATTCTATTTAGAAACCTTGATGTTTGAGATTTAAAACTAATAAAGCTATATTAGGGCGCAACTGCTTTTAGAAATATAAACAATCTCACCAGATTACAATACTGATTTTGTGTAAAAAGTTTTGCAAATGTTTTAGTTGCCTTTGTATCACAGCAATGTGTCCCGAAAAGTTAAGGGGTTTTCCTAAATCAATTGCTTTAGTTGAAATATTTCAGCAATTCGTTGTTGATAGCTAGTACACATACAGTCGATTCACAACGTCATCAGGTGATATTTTTGCTTTTGAAAGACGAAATTTTCCTAGCTGTTAGTACCTAGCAGGTGCTGCTGCATGTATATCTGATTTTCTCGATTGATAACTTAATAGATTTCTGTTGGCCGGGAGTCAGTAACAAGCCTTTGCGTGCAACAAATATAGCAAATATTTTTATCTTATCGGTCACACGCGACAACTTCCTGAAACAGCACAGAGTCATTTTTGATATCTTGAAATTGTGGTAAGCAAAAACTGTCATAGTTTGAAATAAGGATACCCAGGATGTAGTACTGTTCTCAGCCAAATAAGTTGTTTTTTTAAATGGTTTGCTTGCTCGGTGGGTTTAAATATCATTATGATAGATTTGCTTTGTTAATTGGATTCGACTTTTAATTATTAATGTTTGTTGAAACTCAAGTAACTTCAGTTAAGGTGAATTCACATGTTGGAAAGCCTATTGCTAGGTATAGAATTTATTCACGCCAAATAGAATTAATTTGCGCTAAATAGAGTTCATTTGCGCTAAATGTTTTGCAATCCTTATCTTCTATTGTTGATTCGACATTTTAAATGACCACAGGTGGCGTGGGCTGTATAGAAAGAACATTTGTTACCAGGAAAGATATGCGATCTTCTTACATTTTAAATGAACTCAGGGGAGTAGCCAGGGCTTTTAAAGGGAGAACCCCTGCAAAGGTTTTCATCACATCTATTTCCTTTGCTAGATACGGTGGGAGGAGCAACGTCTCTGCATACACGTTGCTTTTTTCATTTTAGCTGCTTTCAAGCCAGGTCACTACAAATTCATTCGGAGTTTTAGTAAATATGAATTTATTGACTTTCTAAATCCAAATATTACAAAATGGTTTAAATGGCTCAAATACTATATGGAAAATACTATAGATAATCGAAAATATAGAGTTTTTGCTAGATCATATCTGCGTACTTGCAGTACGCAAGCTAATACTTTCACGCCGTCGTCCACTATAAGTTCGATCTTTTACCAATGCAAATGAAATATGTCATTTCTTCACCTTATTTTATGCAGAGGTGTAGCGCTATCAAAACAACAAGGGGAGCTCTTGCGCAAAACGCTGCGACAAACAATAGCAAAAGTAGAAAATGAGCCCCCCCCCCGAGCCCCCTAACACTACACCCCTGGGTACACATATTGCATCATGTGATCATGCATCTTTGGGTCGTTTTTAACGGTGTCTAATTTTGTTTTAATACAGGCGCTGTCAGTAGCTGTTATTCCTGCATGGCAAAAAGATACGCTTCGTGACGACTTGAAGAAATTGAAGAAAAGACTAGATGATGCAGACCGAGCCGCAAAAGCAAGCCGGTTGCAGCGTGTATGTTTATATTTCATGATATTTAAAACAAAGCTTTTATTTGAACTTCTTTAGTTGTCTTGTTGTCATAGCAAGGTTTACAAGTCCATCAAACTACTATGTATAATTTCTCGAAATCCAAGCTGCCATAATCCTCAAGTTATTTGAACTTTTTACTACTTGCTTTTTATGGAACTTTAGAGGAGAGCTAGTATTGTTGCAACAAGCCACCATTTGAAACAGTGCCTGTCACTTCGCAACCAGCTTTTGTGGACCATAAACAGATTCCCGTGGACAATAACTGTTGCCATAAGTGCCATTTTGAACATAAGTTTGCCATAAGTTGCCATGTGCTTTTTATAAAACAAGCCCCGTCCGACTGGTAATTGCCTCCTGTTCCTGAAAAAGCCCCCCTCTCTTTGAAAACTACTCCTCCTTTTTTAACAATTCCGTTTCCTGTTCATAGCATTTCACCAAAACCCCCCTCTTGTGATTAGTGGTCTCACTAAGTGGTCTCGTTAAGTGGTCTCGTTAAGTGGTCTCGTTAAGTGGTCTCGTTAAGTGGTCTCGTTAAGTGGTCTCACTTCTCACTAAGAGATATTCTCTCTTTTGTATACGCAATTTTCTCTTAGAGTAAGCGTCTCTTTTTTTCCAACCTTAGTAAGATCATCTCATTGGAAAGTAGAGTTTGCAATATGTGTCTATGCATGTGTGCATGCTTGATTTGTTTATTGCCAGTTTTGTTCTAATGCTTGCATTTAAATGCATTCAAGGGAACATAACAACATGACGTTTATGTAGCATGCAGACAAATCCTTTTGCTTTGATCCGTCACTTAATCAACATCTTAACTTATTGGGTTTTCGAGTTGAATTAAGTTAGCATGAAAGCGAAAGTCTAAATTTTTATTCATGAAAACTCCCCTTTTAACTTAATAATCGGTAGCTCCAGACGTAAAAGAATAGGAGTCGTGAAGGCGTAGAGTGTTACGGTTGTATTTAGACAGAGATTGTGTACATATCGAATCAAAGTCATCATGCATTAATATTATATTGAGTAAGCCCACAACTAGATCAATGAGTGCCCATTTCTTTTGATTATTGTCTCAGCCTTCGAATGGCACTTTAATAATCTTCACCTTGTCAAGCATGGTCTACGTTAATAAGAACTTGGAATAATATGTTATCTTTTCTGCAAGGATATCTATTTATTTTATATGGTTTGAAAATGTGTAAAAGCTACTCTTATTTATTTTCCTTACAGATAGTGTGTGATTATCAAGAACGATCTCTTTTGTTGTATATCTCAAATTGATTTTTTCGTTTTTCAGGTTGTTTCGGATTTCGAAGATATGATCAAAAACTCCCCAGACAAAGCGTTCTTTGTTGTGCGAGTGGAAGATGGATGCGACTCTAAGGTTCTTTTTTACTAAATATATTTGTTCTTTGAATGTGAATCTAAAGTTTTAAGGATGATCAGAGTATTTTATACTTCGTCTCATATCTGTAAGTGCGGAGCTAATAAGATCTTCCCCTATCTTCTTTTTTCGTTTCAATCGCAGAAGCAATCTTCTGTTCTTTTACACAAAACTGTTCTAATCTTCCTGAAACACGTTTTCAGTCTGGTTTGTACAGTGATCAACAATAACGAAATAGGTTCTAGGTTCTAAAAACAATGCTTATTGGATAACACATATATTGTTTTATTGATAAAACAAAGGTTTTTGAGAATGGTATGATTTCCTCTACAGGCTCTAGACACTGCGCTAAAGGTATTAAAATCAAGTGCGAACAGCAAGCCAGCCATGCTGCTTAGTGTGGACAATAATGCTGGAAAAGTCCTTTGTTTATGTAATGTCCCAAAGGTACGTTCTTGCTCTGTTTACGTAGATTCTGTCAATGAGAGTTTATAATTCATGTGAATTTCTATTCCGTCTAAACTTAAAATACCGATTTTTAATTGGTTTATCTCTTATCTCACAATTCTTATCAGATGTCTCAATTTATCTCACTTCTCAAATCTTGTTAACAGTGGTTGAATGAAGGAATTGAATTTCAAGAAACTACGAGGCTTTGATATTTTTGTTGGCTCAATTTCTCAAGAATTTACGTCCAAACGCGTTTCTTATTGTTACTGGTTTGTCTTGTGTACTAATGAAAATAACTGATTACAAGTCTGTCATCAAGTGCTTGCTGCCGTAAAAGCAGAGCTGTACACGCTGTTTGGCATAAAGACCAGGACGGGTCTAAGTTCTAAGTCTTATCTTTAAAAAAGCTGTTTGTTTAATTTCAAATTATTAGTATCAATCATTTGTTTTTTGCCAGATGCATTCTGCATTTGATATGCTTGGTAAATGTCGCAGTTTTGCTCTCATAATAATTCCATACGAGCTCTTAGATGTTTAGATTGCCGCATTATTTCGCACGTTTAATCGATGTAATGTAGTCATTGGCTCTGTCCTTAACTCTTAAATACAAGCAAACCATTCTTAACGCTTGAAATGTGTTAAGTTTATACTGGTTATCTGTGTTCAAGGCTCTTGCGCAACCGGCATGCTTAGCGGCAGTTGTCTTGAGAAATTGACTGTTTTGTATTTTCATACAGTACGATATTAGGCCAGTCTTTTGTATTATAGTCGCAAAGCGTGCTGGTTGCACAAGAGCCCTTAAGATTCCCTGAAATTTTTTGCCTAAGATAAAAAAGATCTGTTTCGTTAGCAAGTATTTTCTGGGCCAATATAAAAGCAGATGTTTTGATATCGGTTTACAGTGAGAGTCCTAACTTAGCTAATCCTGCTAGTGCAGATTTCGTTTCATTGGATTGTCGCGTGATATTTGAAATCCCTGCTTTTATATAATCCCATGTGCATCGATTTTAATCTGGCACCTACTTGCAGCTGTTAATTTTTTATAGCTGTGTATTTGCTATATATGATTGCCGTTGATCCTGTTTCAGTAAAAACACAGTATTCCCATCCACAAGTATTACATATTGCATTCTTACTCAATCACCGACGCGATACATGTAATGATATAAACGCTGCCTGCTTATGTGGTTTATTTCGTAATTCTCCTCTATTTACGTTTCTGTTTCTTGCAGAGCGTCATTGACTCGAATGGTCTCAAAGCTGACGAATGGGTTAAACAGGTAACTAAGAAAATTGGCGGGAAGGCTGGTGGAAAGCCGCAGTCTGCACAGGGGTCTGGGAACAATACAGGAGCAATTGATGAAGCAATGGAATTGGCGCGAGAGTTTGCAAAGCTAAAACTTTGTTGATTTAGCGGAAATACCTGGCCTTGACTGCCTAGATAACATTACCGGTCGATTCTGTTTTGAATGGTATGAAATACCTAAAGTAATTTTGGTTATCTATCACGTGCGGAAAATGTATCCCATCAGGACCTATTTCTAGTGTTAACACTTAGTATGAGAATGGCAAATGAAAAAATCCGACATTATTGTATCTGTATTTGATGTCAACTTTCTGCATCGTTTTAAAACTTCCAAAGGTCTACCTACCGCGGAGCATATTACAGATTGAAGGGGCTAAAACGTTTTTTGGAGGGGGCTAAACATGCTAAAAACCAAAGCAAGGCAGTTTTTTGTTTGGTTTTAAGTACATTTTGAAAACTATTGGGGGACTAGAGCCCCCTCAGCCTCTTCAGCCCCCCCCCCCGCTTCCGCGTAATTTTTTTATGTTTTTTTATGTTTAATTCTTTTAAGGAGGGTTGCCTTTGATTTTAAAGGTGCCCTCTGATAGAAACATTACTTACCAAAGACACGAAATAAAAAGCTATTAATAAAATTAAAATATAAAACCCTATTTACAATATTCAAAACCTATATAAAATAATGTGAAAAAATTACCAATAGAATAGAAGAGAAAGTTAACAGTTTCTAAATTGTTTTCTTGAAACTATACAGAGAGGCAGCCTGCTTTGACTCGGCGGACAGGCTATTCCATACTTGTGTTCCTCTATAAGAGAAACATGTCTGGCCATTTGCTGACCTTTTCATCGGTAACCTCAGGTCGGTCACCGTATCTCGAAGGCTATATGGTGACCAGGACAAATTTCGGATGAAAAGGTCGCACAGGTATTGTAGAGCCAGTTCATTCAGGGACTTCAAGACCACTGTCTTAGATTCGTCAGAAGCAAGTTCCGCAACGGTCTTCCACCCCAACCCTTTAATGAGAGGTTTGCTTGGGGCATCAAAGCTGCCATGCGTAATTATCCTAGCCGCACGGTAATTTCAGTTAAACCGGCGCAGCCCCAGACAGAACAGCAGTATCGAAAGTGGGGCTCCACAATACCTGTGTAAAGAGTTTGCAATGTTTCTTTCGGGGAAAAGGACTTGGCATGTCTTAAAAAGCCAACTGCCCTCGCGAACTTGCTAGGAACTGTCTTGATTTGTTCTTTCCAATCCAAGGAGCAGTCAATTTGCACACCAAGGTATTTTGTCTTTCCGACTGTTTCAAGCTCATTATCACAAATTTTCAGAACCAAGTCTTTATTTTGACTTTTGAGGATGTTGTGTTTCTGCTTAGTAGAAATCAGCATAGATCGAGTTTTCCCAATATTTAAGTAGGCTAGTTGCCTTGTAGCCAAGTGTCCAGTTTTCTAAGGTCACTATTAATAGCCTCACTTAGCCGAGTCAAATTGTTAGACTAGTAGCACAAACTGGTGTCATCAACATACATGGAAACGGTTGAATCTTGGACAGCTTGTGGAAGATCATTGATGTAAAGGAAGAAGAGAAAGTGGCCAAGACACGGGCCTTGTGAAACACCAACTTCTATGCCAATTTCTGAATCCACGCCATTAACTCTACAAAACTGTTGGCGGGGGGGGGAGGTGGTGTTTATTTAAGCATATGATCGCGATTAGAGGAAGAGAGGAGGTTTAAGGGAACAAGAACCAATCTTCGCAAAATGTTTTATGAAAGCAAGCTAACAGTTTATAAACTAAACCTTTTTTTATTAACACGAAAAAACCAAATAATAATTACATGCTTAAAATATATTTGCATTAATTTAATTTGTTGAAAATGAGAATGCCAAATTTTGAGTCAAATGAAACTGAAAACTATGTGAATTTCAAAGAATTTTAGAAAGTTATCTTTCAATTAAAACTTAGTAACGAGCGTTTCATGCATCTAGGAGGTCTGATTGCAATTTATATTCTTTAGTAATCGAAAATGGGCCAAATATTCTCCAAACTATACGGCTGATAGTTTGCCCTTAATCTAGCTCATAAATACATGTTGTATCAACGCTTTACATAATGTTCGGTTTCATTTCGCAAATGAAAGTACATCATGACTATATGGTAGAAATTCAATTCCTTTCTTGGTATTGCTACCAATTTTTTAGATGTCTGTCCCTCGATTCGCTTTCGATTTGCAGAATCTGTATTTGAATTCCATCAACCTTCAATTTGATTCCTCTTCCACGATATTGGTGTTACCTACCTTTATTCTTAAACCGCGCATTTTGCTGAATATAATAGGGCTCAATCTACTTATTGCTGAAAGTCAAATGACGAATTTCTCTGATTAAACTCTTAATTTCAGACCGAAAAGTTAAAATCATCAACAATGACACCAAGATGCAATCTTGTGGGGTATTTGACTTCGTCAGATTTCGGTTAAGTTAACGTTAGTTAGTCTCGTGTAATTTGTTAAAAGATTGATCGCACAATATGAAAAAATTGTGTTACCAAATTATCATTCATCGGAAATTAAACTTTTTAAATATTCCAAGACTAAAAAATTAAAATGAAACGTGATAGATACCAAGGTATAACTAAAAGAAAAACACTGTTACACAGGATCATCATTAAAAAAATGAAAATCTAATCGGAGATATTAAATGCAAATTAGGTCTATTCAGCAAAAATTTGTGTACATACCTTTTTTGAAATATACAGCATTTACCAGAATCTCCATTTGCTCCCATGAAAAGGTATTCATTTGCATCTAAGGGACTTTGGGTTCAAATGCTTACAAAAAAGTGCATTTCATCTTATTTATTAGCAGTACTTTTGACCGGGCGCATGGTGGGCGCCCAGGAGAGCTAAATGCCTGAGAGTTCTAGAAGAACCTTATTTTTCACGGATCGTAGCAAGTGAATAAGGAAGGGGACAGCAAAATTTGTTTTAAGCTTCAAATTGATTGGTAAACTTTGCAAGGATGTTGACAGCGCTGTGTCAAATAGGTGACTGGTACTGGGTCAAATTGGAAAATTGGGGTCAAATAGGTTAACTTGAGATGAAAAATAGGTAAACTGTGCGCAAAAATCTCAGTTAACAAGGGGCGTGGGGAAATAGAAAGATGCCTGGTTTTTTCAATATTACGAAAGGGGACTCCTTGGTCAGGAAATCTCTCACCAGGGACAGTCTTCTTGGGGCAGAGTTCCTTGTCCATTTCTCCCATTTAACCTCGCTTTCACCCAGAGGCCGAAATATCTTTTCGTCAGTATTACATTATAAATTGATCATCAACAAAAATGTTATGGATTTGATCATTTTATGAGCACTCACAGTGGAACTCCAGTCTACATATATAGACAGTATCTTAAGCAAAGACAAAATTTACATTTTTTTGGGACATCTTCTTGAAAGGACTTCATAATCAGAGTTGCTGGTGGTGTACTTTGTTTTGATAATCGTTTTAAACGGCCTAGCCCGGCCCATCACCAGACCAGCAGTTTAACTTTATTGATGGCTGCTGATAGCATCAATTTAGTTTTTGCATGCTGCAAAGGGTGAAATGGAAAAGTCAAAATATTGCAAATGTTTACACAATCAGTATTAGCTCCAACTTTCGATTAAAATGAATGCAAAGAAACAGGGTGGCAAAGGCCCAATCAAGAAACTACACAGAGTGCCTGGCAGTAGGCTAAGAAAGCAAAGCTCTGCATCTAAAGTTTACCCTCGACACGCTGTTGATCATGGTAACTAGTTTATTTTATTACTTTCTGGTTCAGATCCTATCTTACTGATAGAAAACAATACGTCTCTGTTAATGGTTTTAGTTCTAATCTACTTAGCATCACATGTGGGGTACCACAAGGCTCTGTCCTTGGTCCTTTGCTATTCCTTATTTTCACAAATGACTTGCCTAATTCATCTCAAAAACTTGTCTTTTATCTCTTTGCTGATGACACTAATATATATTTTGAAGCTGATGAATTTTGTGAACTTGAAAAAGTTGTCAATAAAGAACTAGGTTATGTCAAACAATGGCTTGATGCTAACAGGCTTTCTTTAAATATTGAGAAAACTAATTTTATAATTTTCAGGTCACACCAACGCCCTTTAGCAGACAATATAAACATAAAAATCGGAACACAAATCATAAAACAATCTCAATATGTTAAATTCCTTGATATTCTACTTGACGAGAATCTTAGCTGGAAATACCATTTAAGTGAACTTGCTAAGAACTTAGCTAGAACTTGTGGCATATTTTTTAAAATAAAAAACTTCGTTCCTGTTGATGTGTTATTATGTCTCTACAACTCTTTGTTTGCTTCTTTTCTCCAATATGGACTTGTAGTTTGGGGTTTTGCCTATGACATTCACATTCATCCAGTTTTCTTATTGCAAAAAAGAGTGATCAGAGCTATTGCTTTTCAAAGTTTCTGTTCTCCTTCCTCACCCGTTTTCTCTGACTTGAAAATCTTAAAGTTACAAGACTTGTTTCAATTAAAACTTCTATCCTTTGTCTATGAATGTATCAATAGGATATCGCCTGTCTGCTTTCATTCTTACTTTGAATCAATCAAGTCTATTCATCAACATGATACTCGAAAGGCTTCTAAGAACGACATTTTCTTAACTCAAAAAAACACCCTTCAATATGGTTTAAGATCTGTCCGTTTTTCTGGTGCTGCATCGTGGAATAGTATTCCTACTGACATCAAAGAATCTATATCATTGGTTTGCTTTCGTTATAAATTGAAGTCATATCTGCTTGCAAAAAACATTAACAGCTAATCCTTGAAATTTTTCACCCTGTTTTCCACTTCCCACTTACAGAAATCTGAGTTTCATTCTCGGTATTATTTATTTTGACATCTTTGAAGTGCTTAAATTTATTAGTGTATACTATAGGGGGGCCTCTCTCCTCGACTAGCTTTGCTATTGGTGAGTTCCTCCTTTAAATAATTCCCCATACATACATATCATCCCACCGATAATTTGTGTTCCATATCTTATTGTTATAGTTATTGTTTGATATTTGATGTTGTTGTATTTTTATTAGTATTTTGTGGAAATGTATGTTGTGGAATTTAAAATAAAATGAACCTGAACCTGAACCTGAACCTGAACCTACTTTCTTAGGTAGTATGTTAAATATATCTATCTGTTCATCTACTTCTAATATAAAATGTCTATAGCTTTGTGCTCTGGCTACAATGACCTGAATATGACTCTGTAGCCACTGACTTTACGATATTGGACTATATTTATATTTCATGCAAAGCCAAACAGTCACAAAATAACATTTGAATATAAATGCTGTTTTTATAGCTTTAGTTCTAGAGAGTTAATGAGAGAAATGCAAACACTTGACCAGTAAGTTTTCCAATCAGTACCTAATGCCTATAGAAAAATAACCCCTGGAGTCTTAAAGAGAAAACAACTCCTTCTGTCCACACATAAGCGGTAAACAAAGTTTGGGAACAGGTATATCTATCTTAGGTAAACAGTTTTTGTAATCCATATTGGTAATGACTATCACAAAAAGGAACTTAGCAAAGTAAGCCAGTTGTAAGTCGAAACTTTATCAGAAACATTGAGAGCATATGCTGGCTAACTATCATTCTTGAATTAAAAATTGTTTTTTCTTTAGAAGACAATGCATGGTTGAAGACTAAAGTAAGAAAAATAAACGAAGCTCTTGACAGAGACCCTGTAGATGTTGATTGCTTGCGTAAACTTGCACTGTCTGAATATGGTTTTGTTACTGATGACATCAGATGCAGAGTTTGGCCAAAGCTTCTTAATGTGAACATCTTTAATCTGCCAAAAAGAAGCAGAGGTAAATAATTTGTGTGAAGTGCTGGATTGTCAGGATAATTATATAACTTTTGCATTGTTTTGGTAGAAGGTTATGGATGTCACTGCATAGTTTTCATTTTGTCATGAAAATTAGTTTGCATTCTATCTCAAATATCAGTACCACAGAATGTTCCCTCTTTTCATAGACACAAAATGCTTGTCTTTTGTAAAAAGAAAAACGAGTCCAAATAAAATTGATAACACTTGTATTTGCACATCCAATTTCAGGATTTGAACCTGCAGAATTGAAAATTATATCTTTTTTAGATATATGACCTAATGCAATCTGTTATTACCCATTAAAAGGTTAATGTTGGAGATTCATTCAATCTAGACATGTTTAGTCTGCACAGGAAATGTGGAGGAGGTTTGATGTCAAAACTTCATTCTAATGTCAAATACATTGTTGTTTTCTTATTCCATTGATATATACATTTATGTGATTTGCTACTTTTTTGATAATATGAAAATATAAATCAAATTTTCATCACAGAGAAGTGTTTTGTTTATATTTAAAAGGGTATGAAATTTAGCATGTTTTAATATCTTATCTACAGCTGATATAGAACAAAAGGAGTTTAGAAAAAACAAATATTTTCAACAAGTGAAACTTGATATTGACAGATCTCAAAGGAGGTTTCCTTCAGGTAAGTAAATTTGCTTACTTTTTATTCTCTTCTTTGTGCAAGAATTAAAACAGTGTATTTTGTGCAAGAATTAAAACAGCCAGTTTTTATGTGTAAACAAAAGGTTAATTATTTACAGGGGGTAAACAAAAAATGTAAACTTTACAATTTTAGCTTATTATGAATAAACAAACCTATTTGATGATGTGTTAGTAGTGTGTGGTACTTTATCCATATAATGCCAATATAGGATAATAATTACAGTTCTAGAATTGAATAAGACTGTGACAAAACAACGTTTTGAGCATGTACTCATTGTCATTCAACTAATTTGAGGTTGATTATTTCCTTTCTTTGCTTCATAATGTGAATAAAATTATTTCTTTGAAACTTAAATTCTTGTATAGCACATGTAAAGAAATGAAGGGGGACTGGCCCACCATAAAGGACCCCATTTTTTGCAGAAAAAGGGCACCATATAAGAATTATGAGGGGTGTGGGCGCTGCGGCACCCCCACAAGAAAATTCTTGTTGGCAAATTTTCTAAAAGTAGAATTTTGTCGGGTTTTGCTTTCAAAGTTCCCAAAGCAAAACTTCAGCACACAGTTGGGACAAGATGAGGATAAGACTGAAAAAGTATCACCCAAAAACCCTCAGCAATTCTAAATAGGTACAGATGGTGTTATGGGTGTCACAGAGGGGCAAATGTCCCCCAAAAGTTCCAATTTCCAATATCCAGGGCAACCTAATTTCTACCTAAAGTTTGGGGTTTAGGGAAGGGTCAACGTTTGTTGAAAAACTAAGAATGTGGAGGTACTGGAAGCCACTGTAAGCAGGGCTGCCGAGGGGGCAAGGGGGCAAAGTGCCTCGGGGCCTTGAGGTCGAGAGGGCCTCAAGTAGTAACGAACTCCATTTTAAGAATGAAATCAATGAAACGTTGAAGAAGTATGCCTAAAAATAGTTAAAAGTTCTAAACGATTGCAGGAAATGACTGCAAGAAATATTCTGAAATGCATTTGAAGACAATCTAAAGGGCGTGATCACAAAAATTTCTTCTCGCTCTGCTTGCAGGGGGCCTTGTCTTTCGGTTTTGCTTCAAGGCCTTCAAAACCTCTTGGCGGTCCTGTTAGTAAGATCTACTCATACAAACTAAGTACCCACAGTCCCTCGAAAATTGAAGCGATGATTGACTAACGAGAACATTCTCTTTGATAAACAAAATCAATTGCATCAAAACACCACACCCCACAATTGAAATACCTTAGGCCACGCCCTATTTTGTCGGCAAATTTGTGACTTGCACCCCCTAAGTGAAAGTGATTAGCGACGGTCCTTCTGAGCCAGTGTGCCACTGTAGTCATTGAGAGCTGCATCAAAATTACTCAAGTTTCTGTTCCAGGTCTCAATTGAAAAAAATGATTGTTTTTTATTAAACTTTTTATCAGGTGGTATTCGCATTATTTTTCAGGTGGTAACAAGCATTGCTTCTCCATGCTTTGTCAAAGCATCAAATCGGATAAAACATCCAAATTTATGAAAATTTGATTCAATAGAATTTACTAGTGCAATAATGTCTCATTGTTTCTACAGAAAATAACTTTTTTCTGTCTGTGGTAATAGCAAGTAGAACTTTTCTTTTTATCGCTTTTTACTCTCAGGAACAAGGGCATCAAGAAGGCGAGTCTTGCAAGACCAGTTAACCAACATTATAATGAGAACATTATGCAGAAACCCGGAACTTCATTACTATCAGGTTTGACGTCTTTGCTAAAATGAGCTATATTTGTTCGTACTTTTTTTTCCTTTCTGTACTTCTTCATCAAATAGTGTAAACTTGTCATACTTTATCAACTTGTTTTGTCAGAGGCAATGTTATTGAAAATATTCTGATGATGAAGCTATTGTTGATTGCAAATTGTTACTTATCAGAGGCTTCTTCCTAAAGGTGTATGCGTTGTGCCAAGAAATAGACAAAATGTTTATACCCACAGCTAGAGAGATTTTTCCATTGCGAATGTGTTCCATATTTTCAGGATTATAAAGTATCTTCCATGTTTCTAAACCGAAAAGTTTATATAGCAGTCGTTGAATAGTGATGACTTTACTGTAGCTGGCTTTGGTAGTATAATCCTTTAACTGTCTACGTTTGTAGTGAACCTCCAATTTTTCTAATTACATCTTTTGCTCATCTCCTAAAGGGCTATCACGATGTCGCAGTCACATTGTTAAGAGTTGTTGGCGAAGATCTTGCAATGGCTCTTCTTGAACAGCTGTCTTTGCACCATATAAGGTTCCCAAAAATTGATATCCTTGATATTACTAACAATCATTTCATAATCATTTTTGAAAGCTTTCTTTTGAGGGAAGTTATTCTGGCTGCTAGGCAATTGTTATATTCACAAGACCATGCGAAGTTCATACTAGGAGCTGGGAGGTAGAGGAGTTTATTCTGATTGAAAAAGGGGCCGCATCTGTATCCCATTCAGTTTCTCATAATAGATGCAATTATCATTGTTTCCAAAAAAGGCTGCTTAAATCCTCTCCATAGTTCCTTGCTTGTAACTGCCTTCATTTGTTTATGGAAATTCTAGGATAAAACTTGCACCATTGTAACTTTCTAACAAGCTGGTAATCCCTATAAGCGACAATCAAATGAAAAATTTTCTGAATCAGCTAGACTTCAAGAAGCTTCATTATCTATATTTAATTTTAGAAATACCCTCATTTTCTAATTTGTTTTTAAAAGCTTTGCAAAACTGAACAACATTTTTTTCAAATAGACTATTTACAGGTGTTTTCGATAGTGCATATAATTCAATTCGTTATTTGCGTTGGCTAGAGACTTTATGGATGTTAATATGGAAAGGACAAATAAAATGTTGGCCTTGATTCATCCGATTTTATCAAAGATGGATATAAGCCTGGCAGCCTTTATTCAAAGGTAACAACCATATTTTACCAAATCTTCTTGCTAAGCCTTTGGTTCAACAAAAGCATGCTATGTCCCTACTTTAATTTTGGGGGGATGGGACTTTTTATTTCTGGCTGGTATTATTCTTGTAAATGCACTTTGGTTGGCTTTGAAATGACTTCTGTTTCATGTATCACACTCCAAATTGATTTGTCTTTCAACAACTAATTGTTAAATTTAGCTACCCGGCCAACATTTTGTCTAACTGCAAGCATTATCCGTATTTATTTACCGCTGGAAAACCTCCATTTGTGATTTGCAATGTCTTCTGAAAGTGTTTTGAAAGGTATGATTTGTATTTCAGCGCAGAAGTTGGCCAAATATTCGCCCTTAGTTGGTTGATCACATGGTTTGGACACAATCTCGAGAGATTTAGCGTCATAGTTCGTCTGTTTGACGTCTTCATCGCAACAAACCCATTTATGCCAATATATGTTGGGGCAGCGGTAATTTTTTCGTACTTTTCTTTGTTTCCCACAGAAATTGTTATATATTATATAATTTAACAAGATGTCAGTTATGGTACACTTTCCCCATGTAATTTCAACTTTTTATGAAATCCTTAAGAAAATGGAATCATATTTAGGTATGTAACATCTGGTAGATTTGGGTTGCTGCCCCTCTCCCGCTATTGTTTTCAGCATTTGAAAGTACCTTTTATGTAACTACTCTTACATTAATGCACGCTTAAGAGATTGATGATGACATGTGGGGAAAACCATTTTAATCATTGGGTACATAAGCCTGCCTTTGGACTGTCATTTGTTAGTGACATTTGATTTCAGTTGCTCGAGCATTGATATGAAAGAGGTAAAGTCTATCCTGATGCTGTATGATTCACTTTCATCCAAAAAACCCACAGTATATTGAAGAAACATGTTCTCTTTTCTATGTATGTATATATATGTTTATATATATATATACTATCAAAAGCTCTAACTCCAAGTGTAATAAAAATAATATAGATCTTCAAGAAAAACCCTCTCATGTAAACGTTTCGACCGAAGTCTTCATTATATACAGATTCACAGGTGCGGTCATCAACACCACTTCAACTGATTGAATTTTTTTATGTCTAATTAATCAACATATATATGGAGCTATGGATTTATATATCATTTATGTACTCCTGATATTTGTATTTTGTTTATCTTCTATAAGATCATCGAATCAGATGTAGAAAATGTGATGGAACTTGACTGCGAAATGAGTACTGTTCACTCGTATTTGAGTAAGCTTCCAAATGGCTTAATCCTCGAGGAAACAGAATACATTATTTCAAAGGCATATCGCACCTACTTACAGTATCCACCAAACATTCTACAGAGAACAGCGAAGTACATTGTTAGTCAAAGGTCAGCAAGAACCTCCTTTTTCCTTATGCAATCTTTTTGATATCTTATTTGCAAAATTTCGTTGTAAAGAGATCTCTTTTTGGGGGCACACAGATGACTCCTGAGATTAATAGAATTAGAAACTGTTTGATTGATAGATATATAAACAGTCCCATCCTTTTTTCCATTTCTTGTATTTTACAAGAATAATGAGTTTTCCTCAAAGCTGATATGATTATTGATAAACATGTAAGGCCTTAAATCAACTGTTGTTTAAATGTAACGATTAATTCTGTTACAAACAAAAATCTTCTAAATATGTTTGGAAAGCTAGGTAGGTATTTTTTGACCCAAACGTATTGCTTTATCAAAATTCTTGGAACACTTAAGACACTTATCAAGCTCGGATTTAGCATTCACTTCTTTCCCTTGAATAAATATTAGTTTACTACAAAATGACGTTGGAGATTGCTAAGAAGTTTTTCATGTAGCTAGTAATGTTTGTGTATTATGTTTGCTAAAACCAACAAAATAGTTCTGGGTAAGGAAGATTGCAAGTGTATTTGGAATTAGAAATTGAACTTATCAGAATATAAAGCAAACAGTTATGTTTTAAGGTTATTCTTGCTGGCATTGTTTGCTTTCAAAGAAATTTGCCTTTAGAGACTTTCTCTCCTCAAGTTGCATACTTACTGGACATTATATTTGCTTTAAGACCCTGTATTTCCATTTTTTTTCTTGAAGTTCCTCTGCATCCAGTCACAAACAACTTGTCGAGAGATCAATGATGCAAAAACCTGATACATTGTTGCGAAAGCGAACCAGATTAAGAAACTTTATCAGCGATGAACCAAAGCAAAGTGCTGGTTTTGAAGAGGTTCTTGAAAAAGATGGTAAAGGTAACCAGATAGTTAAACTAGCAGTTTGGACGTTAAGTATTTCAATTGGAGCAATGACATTTTTGGTTTTGAATGCTGCAAAAAAGTGGATATGAAGTCATTTCGTATAAAGAAAAAGTCTATTTTAATCTGTCTCTTGCACAATGTACTTTTCAACATGGTACAATTGAATGTGTTTTGCAGATCTTTGAAAATCTATGAACATCAGTTTATTTATGTTCTTTAAAATTGATTGATTTTTGAAAATGACATTGGTAAGGCAATTCATTTACGTTCTAAATGTTACATTATTGCTATCGATTTCGTAAGTCGTTAGTTTAATTTCCGAGTATTCGACTATTCACGATTACGTTTAAAAAACAATCTGATTACGCCTGATTTTATCAGTCTAATTCTTCTGTATCTAAGAATAAAATTTTCAGCTCTTGCATAAGTAATTCCTTTGCATAATTTAAGTGCGAAATGAGCATTTATGAACAAAAAATAACAGATGAGTATGAAATTCAGCAGACGAATAAGGAAATTTGTTTGCTGTTGTTGGAAGAAAATTGCCCAAATTCAAATTAATAATGAACCACTGTTGCAGTAAAGTGAAGCTCCTGGTAGAAGAAAACCAGTAGAACTGTTTCACTGATTACATAAAAGAACTAAAACAGCAAATTTTTTGGTCAAAAGCAGAAAAAAGCCACATTTCAAACAGCATTTAATTATTTTTGCATTTATTTTTCTGTTGTACCTATATCGGCGTTTTATGATCTGATTCCCTGCAGTTCTAGTGGTTTTATGACTTACCTTAAATTGTTGCTTGCTCTGTTAATTGTAAATTTTATTTAATGACATCTCCGTCGAAAATGCCTGTTTGGTTATTATCATTGCTTTTTTACTTCAATGAATCATGTTTTGTTTTATTGTTTCTTAAGCTTATTAGAAGTAAGGACCAGTTTGATAAGTGTTTAAATATATATTCAGAATTTTCGCAGTGAAAATTAAGAGAATATAGTTTTTTTATGGAATTCATCATTTCTTCTATCGTTGGTAATTCTTTTCCAGTCACCCAGTAATTGTCCTTCCCTGTGCTTTCACAGTAAATGTCCAAATTCTTGCATGCCCATAGTATACAGCTGAACAATTTTCCTCTTACATTTAATAACCCTCCATGATGATGGTCATGATGATGATGATGGTGGTAGCAATAATGATAGATAGTCTATAGTCTGTAAGCCTTCCTTTCTGTGTAGCCTCTGTTTGATTTTTGTTCCCGCCAAAGTGATGTCGTCATTTGCGATAATATTTTCTGTTATATTTGGAATATTTTCGTCGCGATATAAATATGGAGCTGGAAGAAGATTTATTGTCGAAAACGAACGAAGCACTATTTTTCTGTGATCTTCCTGGGAATTTTCTTGAGAATCTTTTAGGTTTAGAAGCAACGTGCTGGAAAGACGAAGCTGTCGATCTCCTTCATCCGTCTTGTTGCAGGTACTTTTCAAACTACAACAGCTTTACCTTCAGAATGCGTGGGTGTGGGAGCATTCCCTGATTATTCATTCACCCATGGAATATTTTTGCGGAAAAAAACCCAGAAAGAACATTTTTAGCCCCTCTTTTTCTTCTAATTTGTTTTTGAGCTCGTCGAAAGCAATAGAGCAGTAGAAAAACGTCTATAGATTTTCTTCGGTTGGCTGTTGATTCACCTATTCTTTAAGTTGCTAAAATCGACTTGCTTTTTCATACAATCAAGGTAATGAATCAAGGTTTCGTTTATTATCGAATTTAAAACCCTTGATAGATTTGCCATAAACGAGCTTTTATAAAAAGTTTGTTTCCAAAACCAAGATGCTTCAATTTGAAAAACATTGTGTATGTTTGCCCATGTCTTTGTATTGTATTGTAGATTATTTAACGTTAGTTTTTACAATAGTGAATATACACTAATTAAGACTAACATGAAGCATTTACAAGGATTGCATAAGACAGTTCATTTACTGCAAAACGAGCATGCGCACTTGTTTTCAAGGCACCAAGTTTTAATCAAATACTTAAATTGTCTAGTATTTTGTGCTGTCTTTATTGATTCCGGGAGTGATTTCCAGATTTTAGGCCCTTGAAAACTTAATGATCTGATACCATTATTGGTAGTTCTGGCTTTTTGAATGTCAAGGGGGTTTACTCTTATAAGCATTTGTTTTAGCAGTTTCTTTGCACAATCTTCAGCAGCTCATTTTTAAAATGTTAAAATGTTTTGGTCTTTTCAATAATTTTTCATTTCTTTAGGGAGCTGATTTTTACAGTCCCTGATATATTGGTTTCGCCTCGCCATGCATCGTCTGACAAGCTATACATAATCGTCAAGGTTCAATCGATTTCTCTACCTTTTTCTTCCATGCATTCATTTTAATATTTTCTTATCCTGCTTAGGGTCCTAGCAAAAGGATAATTATCTACAGTTTGGGGGGCGGGTGGGGGCTGATAATGAAGGATCTTAGAATCTCTGGAGGCTTTGTTTTACAGTGATACCACGATTAATCGAATATCATTTCACCAAACGCTACATATATCTATGGTATAATGGTATTAAAAGATATTTTAAAACCATTAAATGGTAATAAAACCATTAAAACTATGAATTATTGGCCCCATTCAATCCTGTTTAAAGTCTGTATTTTTTGAAACTGTTAACTGTGCTCCTCGTAATTATGATAAATGTCAATTTAACAGATCTTGACATCTTTCAATTTCATTGAATATAAATTTGTGAAGATCACCAATGTACTGGTGTTTTGCTTGGCTTTTATTTCTATTTTTTTCTTTTTCTTTTTGAAGTCTTAAAAATAGAACATTGTCTCAACTTCTCCACTAACAGCCTTCCATTTCTACTTGCATTGCTACTCTAAAAATTTTAGGCTAATTTTTATTATTCTTCTTTTCCTTAGCGCGAGACGTTGCACGATGAAGTGTTTCTTCACGCAATGCAAAGACTGAAAATCAAGGTTTGTGTAATTTTTGTTTTTGTAGTTTTAACCCATATGTGCCCTTTTGACCTAAAAGTCCTTTTCAGAAAAGAAGTCCGAATATTTGACAAGTCCTTTGCATGTTTGAGACTGGCCTCTGCATTTTTTATCGCTGTGGAACCTCTTAGACGAGGAACATATCTTATCCATCTAACCAAGTGCCTAACTAAACTTTTTAAGGTTTGCATTGTTAGAACATTGGGATGTAGACCACTCTGATTTTTTTTGCATAAAGAACATTTCAAAGCACTAAAATCTCTACGGGCTAACAATGACATCTTTTTGACAAAACCTGATAAAGGATCTGGAGTGGTAATCTTGAACAAAAAGGACTACATCAATAGAATGGAGGTAATTCTCCCCGACAAAGAACAATTTTTCTAAATTGGGTGATGTCGAAACACAGGACAAAACGGCCAAACTAGAACGGAAGCTCCAAAAACTTTTTTTTGAACTTGTCAACTCAAAAGTTTTGGCTACAGAAATTTATGATAGGATAAAACCCACGGGCTCTCAACGACCACAAATGTATGGCCTCCCTAAAATACACAAGCCGAACATCCCACTTAGACCAATTTTGTCTATGATTGGCTCAGCACGAACTGGCTAAGTGGCTTTTTGAAGTTTTGGACCCTGTTTTTCAAAAATATTCAAAACTTTACATCAAGGATTCTTTTACGTTCGCTGAGTTCATGCAAACTTGAACATCGAAAACGAAAAAAACTTTCATGTGTTCTTTCGACATTAGTAGTCTTTTCACAAATGTCCCTTTGAGTGAGACCATCAAAGTATGTGCCGACGCTTTGTATCGGAGCGAGCTTAATAGCCCACCATTCCCAGAGGAAGTATTCATTGAACTGATGGAAACTGCAACACGTTCAGTTGAATTCAGTTTTAACAATGAAATCTACCAACAAAAGGATGGTGTCGCTATGGGTAGCCCTCTGGTACCGGCCTTGGCCATTATCTTTGTTGGCTTTTATGAAGAGCGTTTGTTCGACTACAACCAAAAGCCAGGTGTTTATTTTCGGTATGTGGATGACACATATACCATTTTCAAAACGGAGGCTGAGTGTGATATTTTTCTAAAACACCTTAATAGCCTACACCCAGCCCTCCAGTTTACGTTTGAAAAGGAAGAAAATGATTCCTCGCCATTTTTAGATGTTTTGGTCGAAAAGTCTAACACTGGATTTCTTGACAGTGTATATCGCAAGCCTACTTTTACCGGTCAGTACATTCGCTGGAATTCATTTTGCCCAAAACAACACAAAGTCAACCTTGTCAATACTTCATTACATAGGGCACTTATGATCTGCTCGAAATCTAAACTGCACGCTGAGCTGGAAAAAACTTAAAACGATCTTTCTGGACAACGGCTATCCAGGAGACGTCATTTTATCTTATAATAAAGAGAAGATCGCAAGTTTTTCGGCTGTTCAAAAGTTTGGTCCGCAAAAGTGCCCAGTTTATTTGAAACTATCATGGATTGGTAACACTTCCTTGCGATTCGAGAGTAAGATTAGGCAAGCCATAACTAAATGTTTCTTTGCTGTAAATCCTCGTATTGTTTACAGCACTAGGAGAGCCCTTCCATCCATTCAAAAGGATTGCGTTCCTACCAACCAAAAATGTTCCGTTATTTATGAATTTACATGCCAGTGTAATTCTGGCTACGAAGGACGCACAACTCAAAGGTTGGGGGATAGGATAAAACAGCATGTTCCTTCCGACATAAGAAATAAAACTGCCCCTCAAAGAGAACAGCCTCCTCAATCTTGTAGGTCTAGAAACATTGTTAAAACAAGTGATTCTGCCATCGGTCAACATCTTTTGGACAACCCAAAACTCTATAATGACGACATGTTTCGGATAATTGGCAGAGCCCGGTCGTCCTTCCATCTAGCAGTTATGAATCGATCTACATACAAACGATAAAGTCGCCATCGTGTAGATACAAGGAGTTCCCTTTCTCTCTTGGACTCCAGTGGTAATTTTTCTTTAGGCACGCGGCACTGAACTATACCTGTCTTGTGCTTGCGTTTTTCTGATTGGCCTATTTCGATCCACAAGTTTGTTGCTAAACTTTATGTTGTAAAATGTATCAGTTTACGCTCTCAATTCCTTATCTCTTGGAGCAAGCAGGGTACAAGAAACACGAATCAAATCGGATAAAAATTTAAATCTCTATTTTTGTACGATTTGATTCACCAATTTCTTTATTTTAAAACCATTTCCGCATTCCCTGTCATCCTCCTTATTTATAAAATATTTTAGCCGTCCTATTACTTTTTGAATTAGAATTGGCACTTTTTTACGTCTCTTTTGCTTTAACATTAATGTTTGGGTTAACTTTGAAATTCATTTTGTTATTCTGTTCCATTGAGAAGCTGTATCACAGGACGATGTTTCCTTCAATTTCAGATAGAGCAGCGATTTGAAGTGCACAGAGAACTATTTCAGTACTGCCTCAATTTTACGCTGATACACAGAGTTGCGCCACTATGGAACAGATTGGGAGGATTTCTTGTTCATGGTATGTCTTTTCAATGATGTACTTTTCAATGTACCAAAGTTTTATTTCTGAACTATTTTCCTCATCTTAGGAATAATTAGATGTTTTTTGCATTTAGAATGCAGACTGTGGTCTTATTTGAAAAAGATAATTCACATTACAAATTTAAGCTTTTTCTTTTTAAGTAATTCGAGCATAAAGATTCAAGGAGAATTTCGGTAGAATCTCGAGACTATAAAAGCACTATAAAAACGAGTCAAAGTCATTTTATAGTTTTAATATTATAATGTTAAAGTTTTTATAGGTTTATAGTTAATGGTGCAATGCATTTAGAATCCCAGAATTAATGTAGAATTCATGGCAAGAAAGTAAGATAACTAGGAAACCAAAAACATACCTTCTCCCATCACAGTATGAAAAATTTCCATTGCTTTCTTTCTGAAAGTAATGTAACTTTGAATAAAAATATTATGATGATCCGTTCAAAATGGCTATTTAAATGGAAAAGCAGAAATATTTTAACAATGCCCTTAAGCCTGGCTTCTGATCATCAAAGTCGAGCCACACAGGTCATCATTTACCCAGATTTTTAGCACCTTTTTTATCTCTAGTGTGCACCAACGTTTTTGCCGATAACTCAGTCACGTTTTAAGCTTTTTTTGGAGCATTTGTAGTGAACCTCTATCTTGCTGTCCCCGATTCACTAGTTTCAAAACCATCCAAGTATTTCTATGTATTAAAACGCCGTAAAATCATGGCCACGACGCAATAATTTGTCTTTCAATATTACAAGAAACAGTTAAAATGGTTCCAGGGGCGGCAAACTGGCGATCTCCACCCGGGCCCTGTGTAAAAAATTTTTACGGGCCCTCCCATTTTGGAGAAAAATTTTCAACTTAACTTCATTTCATTTCATATTGATAATTCAAATTTTTAATTACAAAATACTGGCAATACGATTTAAAATTAATTAGATAAGCTTAGGACTTGTTTCAACTCGGCGAGAGAGGGGCAACTGCCCCTAGTTGCCGCAACCCCTGAGATTCACCACTGTTACCAGTAGCAAATCATTCAAATAAAAACAACAATTAATGCAAATGGAGATATAGAAAAAATATATGATTTCAAGCTCTTAGAGAGGAAACAGATGGAGAAAGAACTGTGACTTTCAAGGTGGGGGTTCGCAAAGAGAGAAAGGATTCCAAAGTCGACATCGACACCCTGTATCAAAAGGGTTGAAGCTTGCCAATTGTGCATCATATTTTGAGAACAAATTAAGAACAAGCTAAGGCTGAGCTATTGTAAAATGCACTTTTGAACAACATTTTATCCCAAAAATGAGGATTCTTAGCCATGTCTGGGTGCTTTTCGGTGAATATTCAATCTTGTTGTCAAACGAATCTTGTCTAACTCACTTTTTTGGCGAGTGATGTCTGAACACCTCCCTAAAGCGAAAAAGCTAGCAATCGCACTGCTCACACCCTTATAATTTAGGAACAAATTAAGAACGACCTAGCGTCAGATTTTTTGCAAAAACTAAAAACTCTCAGCCTGAATCTAAAATTATTGGTTCTTATAAAAAGAAGCGTGAATACAACATGCACATAGCAGCATACCTCTACAATGCGTATAAATGTGTGATGCGCTTAGCGGCACCCAAGTTTCCTGTGAAAGGTTATTCAGCCAGCTTAATATAATTTAGAAAACTCTTCATGAGATTTTAAACCCTGTTTACACGAGAGAGAATGTATGGATTCAACTAGATCTGAGTTTACGAATTAAAATCAATATACTGCTGCTGTTTAGCACATTGTTTAATTATCAATGTTTATTAAATTAACCGTATTTTAAGGCTACATTTTAAATGGGTGTGGCTCAACTTTTCCGCCACGCCCTAAACCGGGTTCTTTAAATTTGCTAGCCACCCGGCGATTTTGACACCAGACCGCCCCCGAATGGTTTAAATGTTTTTCCTTGTGACACTGGGTCATTAGGTAAATATTCCCGCCGTATCCTGCATTGTAGAAATTTGTTCACATGAAAGGCCTATTTATCATCAAAGCATCTGTTTTGGTGTTGAGACAATGCAGTACTACCCTAAGCTACGTTATACTGCACTGTGTTTTACTATTACTGCTTCTTCAAGCACTACATTCACTCCAAAGTTATGTAACAGATTGTGTTTATGTCATTTCTTTCATCCAACATTCATGTTTTGCTTATTAAATATATTTCATACCTCTTGATCAATCATGTCTACGGCAACGGTCGTACACAGTGGCGGATACTTGGGGGGCGACCGCCCCCCCTCAATACTTTAGAGGACAATGGTCTTTGTTCTAAAACAATGGGAAATGTGACATCATCCTATTAAAACAATAGGCTTGCCCTCCCAATATTTGATCAAGTGTCCGCCTCTGGTCGTACAGCTTGCTGCGTATTGACTTCTTCTACCTCCTTATTATTTTCAATTCCTGTATTTTTTGAAACAATCAGTTTCATTGATATACACATCAACTGGTCTTTTAATAATATTTATAATATTTGCCTGATATTTTATGTAATACTGTCTTCGGTATTGCCCATATATTATTGCTCAATATTTATCATCTGCCTAACTCATTCTTACCACTGCAGTTATTATTTCTCTTCTTCTCATTTTTGTCTTTGTTTTGGTCATATTTAAGTCATTTATTTTTTAATTTCTCATGTGCCAAAGGCTATATATGATTTTTTAACCATTTTTATGAATCAAACTTTTTTCAATAACCACATTTGTTTGCATGTGAAACCCCAAAGTACTCTCCAATTAGATATGATTAGACTTGTATAGTGACTATGTGCATTAAATAATAAATGTTTTCACTATCTTTCAAAAATAGCTTTTAATTCTTTTTGGTGTACCGGTCTTCATTGAAAGTCGCGTGACCCTGCCAAAAAACCTCGATTAAGCATATATCTCAATCAAAATGCTTATCTCTTTTATCTCGTCTTTGTAATTTTTCATGTTGGAGAGAAATCTTTTGAAACAATATTGGGATATTTGCGTTCTCAATATCCATGCTTGTCTGATTTCAGGCGAAACTGTTTTTTAGCTTTGAAAACCAAGGTGTTGGAGTAAGGATAGTTTGTGTGAGAGAGCTTGCAAACCACCAGGTCATCCTTTTCTTAGTATTGATATTTTCTGATAGCAAACCGTTCTATCACACAAGTGTGAATTAATGAAAATCCCTTCAAAGTCTATAGATCAATTTCAAATCATTCGGGTTGTGGGCAGTCATGATTTTATTTAGTTTTTCACTCTCAGCGAAGAAATTGGGTTTTTTCTTGACAGACACAACAACTTCTGCTTTTTATTAAAATGCAAAATGTATATCTCAAAGGCAACCTACAGGCAACATGTCTTGTACGGTTTTGCAGGGTCTCCGACGAAGGGGGGAGCTCGGGGGGGGCATGGCCCCCTCACTTTTTTGCAAGACAATAGAGCTTTTTGTAAAAACCTTTGTTGTGATTGTTATATTTTCTCTTGGCCCCTCCACTTTCCAACCTGCGTCGGAGCCCATGTTTTGGATAATGGCTATTGCTGGTTGGACGGTTCACCTCCATGTTGAATATTATCATCGACTCATTCATTTTTAAACTCTGCTTTTGCGAAGATTAAGAATGGCATGTCCGATAAGGCATGTTGTTGATATGCTTACTTAATTACTTTTTGAGCCATAGCTATAAAAGGGATTTGATAGACCTGAAACTAGCACAAATGTTAATACAAAAACTGGTTTATTGGATAGATCCCAGTGTATCAATAAACTGTCGAGAAAATTGACGAATCCCAAGGTTGACTGAATAATTATACATTGATTGTGATTATACATTCAAACAATTTTATGACATTTTGGTGCCACCTCGTGGACGATGAGCAAAGGAGGAACATGTGGCTGAACATATATCACAGACTGATGAGGCCACGATAACAGACGGCGATAGAATCATTGAGTGAGACAGTAGATAAGGAACCGAACGATGAAATAAGTGAATTAAGCGGGCACATGCTTCGGTCATAACTTAATTACAGCGGATACATTCTCGCTGTAAATTGAAAGAAATCCACGCCGTTCACCTGGCCACTGAATTGATTGAGTTGCTCCCCAACTGAGATAAAATCGTAGCTCCTTCGCAGGTTGAAAAGAAATAAACATGCGTCAGAATGAGTTTTTTCGATGGTCCGAAAGTCTGGATGTTAACGAGAACGTACTAACGTGAACGAGGCTCTAAATTGTCAACAACGCTATGCATAAGAACTTTGCACCTTTATGGAAAAGTGTGTTAAAAAATGATCATTAGTGAATTGGTTATGCTTATTTCAAAATTATTTCTTTACTATCGAGCATTTATTAGAGTTATATCGATTAAGATAAAATTAAGCACGTCGAATATACCTTGGTTCTTCGCAATTTTGTCGTCTGTAAAGCGACTGGGTCATTGTGCTCTTGCATTTGGACTACTTTAGTCTTTTTAGAGTGTAAAGATTGACCAATAAATTGTTTTATTTTATCTGTGCTAAGCTACCCTGGATATTCTTACTCATATAAATTCGCGCTCCTCCGCTCCATCGTTTCGCCGCTCTTCCGCTCCTCCGCTTCTCCGCTCCTCTCGTCTATTTTGCGCTTGAATGAATGTGGCCCTGGAACCTAGGGCAGCGGTGAGCGTAGAATACCCAGCATTCGTTGTTGCCAGTACAGGGACTGCGGAAGCGTGGGAGCTACAATGGCTTAAGCTCCCTAATAATCTCCAAAACGTACTTTGAACCATACAAAAATTCGCCGTTGTCTTGGTTTTGAGTTTGTATAGCCCCTCAAAACGTTTTAGCCCCCCTATTTTGCATTATTCCCCGCGGTGCTTGTGCCAGCATATGTTGCAGTTAAAGACATCAGCATATGTCTCTGTCACCCATTTAGGACGAATGGTTTGACATAAGCATCAGACAAAGAGTGTTTCCTATTGTATTTGCAGCACACTGA